TTGTGAATGATTGCTGAGAACAGCTGGATTAAATGGCTTTGTGTGTGAGCACACAAAGAACTCATGAAATATAAAGGTGTTTTGGATCTGTGCTGTTGGAATAGACCAATGTCTGATTACAGTTTTCTGTCAAATTCAGGATGGATGTGTTCCTACTTGAGTTGAAATTGCTGTTTCAGCCTTAAAGTGCTGTAATGCTTACTAGGTACCTTCAAGCAACTTAAGCTCTTCCCTCATCTCTTCAGGCCAGAAGAAAGTACTGTATTTCTTGCTTGGGAGCTGAAGAGTTGGTTTACATGAAAAAAAAATGTTTAACTACTCCCAGTAAGAGTTAACCCAGGTAGGATGGAGCTTGAGCATTAAACGTGCTTTGTGGGCCTTGTTTCTGAGTTGTTCCAAGTATTAGCTTTAGGTACAGATGCTGATCTACCTCTTTCATCCCTTATGTTCAGGACAATTAGTAATACTGCCAAAACCAGAAAAGAGCCAGATAATTTTTTAAAGCAGTGTTTTGGAGAAGAGATGTAGTCGTTTACCTTCTGTGTGTGCAGAATCCTTGGGAGCAGCAGAAGATGCTCCAGCCCTGGACTATGGGAAATCAGAAGAACTTTTCCCTACAAGAGAGGCTCCTCTTGCTTCCAGTTCCTAGAATATCTGTCCTGTGTTCAGTGAATCATTCCTGGAGAGCACTCAGGCAGTGTGGAGGAGAAAAATGCCTGGTGTGAATACAGGGGGTATAAAAGTCAGATGAGAGGGGAGAGATAGGAATATGTCGGGACAGAAGTACAGTGAAACTGGAACTGTGGAGGGGTTGGAGAGGAAGGAGCTATAGCTGATGGAGAACTGGAGCTGGAGGTTTGCAGGAGAGGTGACTTGGGAGCCTGGGAGATGGGGAGGGAGGCAGCAAGAGAAGATGGGTTGGCAAGGGAGATGGCAGTCTGAATTCTGACACTTTCTAATTTTGGAGTGCTTGCCTTTGTAACCTTAATAATTTTGTTCTAATACACTAGATACAAAAATTGCATTATATGTTCTGAGGAATTTGGTTACTATGGTAATGGGTATATAAGTACATAAGAGATGAGATGTCAGCAGTCGGAACAGCTGTAATGTAGCACACAAACCTGTGACTGCCGGAATTTGGGAAGCAGGCCCTCACAAACTTCTGCTTCAGTCTCATTTCTCACTGCCGGGATGTCTGTTGTTGTGTGAAAGTGACGTCAGAGCTTCTACAATAAATCCTTGGGGTTTATGGAATTTCAGCAGACGAGCCTGAAATCTCTGGGTAAACAGACCACGTACCTCCCTCCTGTGCCAGGACTAGAAGGTCTCTGTTCCCACCCAGCTGCTGGAAGTGCAGGACTGGTGCTGACTGGGCAGACCACGAGTGTGCAGGATGGGAGTGGGCTGCTGCTGTTGCCTCCTGCTCTGGCACCTGCCTCCCTCCTTGCTCAGAGGCCAGGGCTGCCTGAGCCATGACTCGTTCCCAGGGTCACACAACCAGTTTCCCCCTCCCCAGTGTTGGTGTCCCTGTCTAGGTGGATTTGGGGTAGTGCAGCTGGTGCCTGTTACAGTCCTTGCCAGAAGCCGTGTGTTCGTTTGGTGATGGTGAGGTCCTGCCCGGCCGGAGCAGTTGGGGAAGGTGATGGGGAGCAGGGGAGTGCTCCTGGGGAGTGTGAGGCAGGAATGTGGGCAGCTCTTGGTACAGGAGTGGAAAGGGTGACTTTGCAGACTTTTTATCCCTTCCCTTGCCCCATCTGCAGCAAGGATATATTTTGTATGCCCACCCCCACCTTCTAATTTGAAAACCACTTGCACAGTGTTGTTGGGGGGATTGTCCTCAACAGGAGAGGGTTGCTGGAGAGCTGATGGAGCAAGCAGTGTCCAGGCTGGAGCAGCACTGCAAGTACAGTTCATCCCACCAAAGTGAGGGTCAGTAGAGCACGTGTTGGAGATTGCCTAGAGCCAAGTGTGGTGCAATGGTGTAATGATGAGTTAGTGCTGTGAGGACGTGTGGGCTGGAGGGAAGCTGCCGATAAGTTTTCAAGAACCAATCTAGAGACAATTTAAAATGGTGGTTTGGTCTTGATGTACTTTATGAAAGGACTGCCTTAATGGAATCTGCTGGGGCAATTTGGGGGACATTGTCAATACAGGGGAGGGCTCAAGTCTCTCTGGAAGGACTGAATGAGCTGGAGGATTTGCAATATGGATACCTAAATGAGACAGTACAGAGTGCATGGTCATGTAGTAACAACAAATATACAGTTAACACATAGTATCTATAAAGATATATTATTATATATTAAGTACATATGAGATATAAAAGTATGGTTTATCAGTTAGAAATGGAAAAATGTGAAAGACTTGAGTATATCACTTGATACCATGGTGATTTTAAAACTTGAGTGCTGTATATCTAGGGAATAAGCAGATGCGAAGAATTCTGGTCAGGGATACTTTAAAAAAAAAAAGCTTATTTTGGGACAGATGTGAGGAAGGGCTGGTAGGATGGTCTGGGAGGTCAGTTCTCTTTCCTGCGTCATAAAGGGAGGAAAAAATGGCTTTTTTCAGTTAACAGGCTAAGGCGACAGTATTATATCTACATGTGCTTATCTCTCAGTATTGAAAAGGGAAGAAAACTGTTTAAATGCTAAGACTGGTGTGAGAAAAAGAGTAAGTCAGTGTAAACTTAAAATAATAAATCTGTAAATCAGTCTTAACTAGCTCTTAATCTTAATTGGTTCCTAATCAAAATATGAGAGGGGTTCTGGAGCAGCCTTGTAATCAGAGTAGTGGCTTTGAGAAGTTCTCAGGAGTTGGTTATTATTTGATGATTGGATTCTATTATAAAGTTGCTTAAAATAGCAGCAACAGGCCTTAATTGGACCTTCAGTCCTGTGATTGTAACAATCCAATTGAGACATATTCTGTATATCTGAGCCACTGCTACACAAATTGTTTTGTGTATTGGTTGAAATGAGCATTTTCCCCGTGAAAGCAGATAAAACTCATCAAATTAAAAGGTTATGCTTGTTATCTTAATACATACTGAAAATATTTTTTTGCTTCAAGTGAAAAACATAAAGGGAAGGGATCTAGACCTTGCAGAAACCACTGGAGAAGCATTTCTTTAAGTAGGTAGAATAGTTGAAAAAGGTGGTTTTTAATTTGTTGTTGTTTGCTTTTGGTTGTTTGCCTCCTCCCTTTGTTGTGTGCTGTTTAAAAATGATTCTGCTCAGTCATGTGGAAACCGGAAGAATAAATACTCAACCTGAGCTGGAGTAAAACTGGACAAATTGCCATGACTTTGGGGAATTCCAGCAGGAAGGGAGGTGCTCATGGGCTCTGGAAACGTGTGACATAATTGCTGACCAAAGCTACCCCATTTATTGGTACAGATAATCTGGTAGAACAAAGTTAACAGTTATAAAAGGTTTTAAACTCTTTTGATGCTGAAACATGTTTGAACCCCTTTCTGAACCTGCTTTAAGTTACAAACTTGTGCAAGCAGCTGTAGACCCTCATTGTACTGCCAGTAACCCTGTGTGCTCTGATGGGTTGGTCACTCCTAAAGAACAGAAAAATCTTTCACTGGTTATCTGTTGGGAAATGAGCTGCTCTTTCAGTGCTGAAGGGCCAGCACATACATGCACCTTGCTAGGACCTAGTAAGGAACTCTCCTTATTTCCCTGCAGCCTTTCAATAAACCTTTTTGCTGTTCATGATAGTAGTCCTGTATTTAATAAACTCCTGTGTTAAACAAAAATGACCTTTTTCGTAACAAGATGTGCTTGATGATGCCTGTTTGACACTGGAGGAGTAGCAATATAAAAATTGCCACCCAGGTTCTCATACCTCGCCTGTCTGGTTCTGTGTGCTGTCTCTGGCAGTGGTGACACCTGGATGCTTCAGAATGGTGCCAAGAGCATCCAAGGATACCTTACCTGACCTGGCTGGGGATGTTCCTACTCGTGTAGATGTCTGGTTTAAAAAGCAGTGTTTTTATCTCTTGGGCTCGATGACTCACAGTCATTTCTGCAGGTTAATTTTGTTGTTTATGCCTTGATTGGTCAAATTCCTCCACTCTGTTATAAACATGCTTCTCTTATATTTTGTGGCCTCTCCCCTTGTTTTTGAGGTCTGAGCACTTGTCAGAGCCTTATTATGTATGATTTTTAACTCTTGCACCTTTTCTCCTCAAGCTTAGTTTGTCTTCTTGGGGATTTACGACCTCCCATTTCTGAGGCCTTTTTTGTACTGTATTTCTGTTTTATTGCTAGATGTGAATGAAGAATAATCTCCAGGAGCAAACCATGGCAGAGACTTCTTAATATATTGTCAGGAATTCTGTGTTATTTTTCTGATTGATTCTTCATGTTGGTTTTTTTTAAAGAAAAACCAGTCTGACGTTGTCTTTGGCATAATTGTGCAATTATTTTCATTGAGCTGTCTGAGTTCCTCAGTTATGTTTAGTTTAAGAGTAGATATGTGCTTGATGGTTCTTTACTTTTTGACCTCTCATCTCCTGCCTTGTTGCTCATTCATACTTTTTTAAGGTTCCTGTGTACTTTTTGATGCTGTCAGCTACTCTAAATAAAACTTGTCATGTACCTTTCCCTCCCATTCCAGATCTTAAATGCAAATATTATGCTGGATCTGCACAGTATCTGTGGCCACTCTGGTGGCAAGAGCCTTTTCCCTTGCTCAAAATATGTAATTACATATCTGACCTCTTGCTTTTTTTTGAGTTTTGTGTCAGTTCAGACATGATGTTTCTGTTCTCCACCTGTAATTAATTCTCACAATAATTTTGTGTAGAAGACTATTGCCACTTCTTTGTGAATATCCTTTTGAGTTCTCTTAATGACATATAGTCTAGTGCATAAATGGTTGGCTTGCTAGTTCTTAGTGTATTACAGTCACCAAGTGATTAGCACGTTGCTCCCACTAATTAATAGTTCAATTATTCTTCTGTTCAGTTTGGCTGCAGCCGTTGTTGGGAGCTTCTCTGGAGTGGCAGCTGCTGGAAGGGGACAGCAGTTGTGACAAAAGTGTTCGTCACTCTGGAGCTACGTCAGACTTTAGTGCAGCTGCTTACCCGTCTGCATAGGTCAGTAATGTTCAATTTACATGATTATGAAGGACCAGCTGTCCTGGTCTGTGGGAGCACCTTACCTTATACCCAGTCATCTTCTTTGTGCAGGTGATTTGCCATCTCTCCTGTTCCCTTGTTCTCCCGGGTGGCTTTTTTTCCAGCCTGGTAGTGGGTCAGGCTGGATGACTGCCCGAGGCTTCTCACTGTCACAGCTTGGTTTGTAGGATTATTCCTACAGAATCTCACGGTTTTCTCTTGGATTTTTCTGTTTGTGTTTGACTTCATTTTCTACCTTAGGTCCTTCCTGCTGGCTTCAGTTTTGCCAGGTTCATACTTGCTCAAATAAGAGTCTGACCTGAGAACTGGGAGGTTGGACACAGCCTCTGGCTGGAGTGGGAGTGCCCTGGAGTTCTGTACTCCAGGGAATTCAATTGCAAGCTCAATTTAAACATTTTCTCTTTTTTCTTTATTTACTGATTGACCAGAAAGACTTTGAACTGCTTCCTTTCAGGCCTCTTTTCTAAAACTATGGGTGATACTGCTACTTTTTAATTACTTCTTTTCTCAAGGGTAATTATCTATGTTGTGAGCTTTAGTAGCTTATTTCTGAGTTATTTATGCTGAATCCAAAATAGCTAATTTGCTTACGTTTACTCTATTTATTGTTCCGGTGCAAAATTGCTTAGGGGTCAAGAAAAGGTTTCTTTAAAACTCAAGTCCCATTAGGATATCTGACTAATTTTTTTTTATGGGCAGCTGGAGTTTCCCAGTATTTTTGCCTCTAGACTTAATCGACTCTCATCAGCTGGCTGCTTGCTAACCTCTTCCTGGCCAGTGTGCTGCCAGCACAGCATCTCCCACACTGGAATTGTTATAACATGTGCTCCTTGTTCCAAGAGAGGTGGCCATGGAGAGTTGGCTGTAGGTGATGCACTCACAGGATGTTCACTAATGTGATGCTTCACATAGTAAAGGAGAAGAGTTGGCAAGGACTGTGAACTTAATGAATTGCAAAAGAAGGGGGACAGAAGATTTCATTTTTTCCAGTTGCCTTCCTCATAGCTTTGCTAGCCTAAGGAATCACTAAATTTAGAACTGACCTTCTTAATAAATGTACCAGAACTATCACAAGCAAAGACATCCAGGAGATGTTCATGTTGAATATGTCAGGGAATGGTGAGCACTTTTTGAACTTTCATGGCATTGGTCTTTGAAAAATTAATGTAGGCTATTCTTCAGCTGTTCTGTAAGTCTAATTTTTGATCCCATGGAATGTTTTAGTTTAAATAGGAGAAAAAATACAAGATGCTTTTTTGCATTAATTTTTTTCAACTGCATCAGTAATGTCTTTTATTTATGTTATTTAAGTGGTAGATTTGGTGTGAGTGACATTGTAAAAATTACCAGTGAGCAAAACTAGTCTTTTCAGGAGTACTGATATTTTAGGTATATTTGTGTTTGCTTATAACTGCCATATATAACCTGTCAAAATAGATATAGTTTGTTCAGAATATCTGTCTTTAACACAAAAACAGGCTTCCCCAGTTAGTTATCTTTTGCACTACTTAGAAAACTCGAAAGATTGTGGAAATAATTAGAAATACAGAAAACTGTTTCCATTCTGTTTGAAGTGGAAAGCACATGATGATTACTGCACTGTTGGCTTTGCTGCTGGTGTGGATCATCCTAACAAATATTTACATCCAAGCAAGAAACACAGATCCTGGGCTTGTCAGTGGAGGTTTGGGAAATGCAACTTTCTGACCCTTTTGCTAGTGACATTCCTGGAAAGTAAACACCCGAGCAGAACAGCTCAGCCGGATCAGAAAGTGTGCTGGGGTAAGTAATTCAAGGAGTTGATGATGGACATTTTAGTGTCAGAATCTTGAGAGGAAATCAAAGTAAGGCACAGAGTCTACAAGTGCACGTATAAGAGAAATGCAAGCAGTGCTCAAACATAAAAGTGTCTTCCTGAGGCTATTCTGTGAAGAAGTATAATACAAGAAAAAAGAGGTAGGGAAGCAGCGAGAGAAAGGAAAAAATATCTGCAAAGAGGTTTTTTCAGGATAGAACCATTCCTCAAAAATCTTTTAAAAAGAAATTGAATAAGGAATACTGGAATGGTAGGCTTGCTCCTTGTCAGATGAAGAAAGATGTACTGAGTTGGGAAGAAAAGCCTGTTTGAACATAAGTGCTCACACAGACAAAAAAACCTGCCAGAATTCACGGTAATATCCAGGTACAGATTCATCTTCTCATTATAATCTATTCCTTCTAGAAATACATAGATGAGGGAATGCGAAAGATATGAAGGGGTCATCATTTCATGACTATTCTTGCTGTGAACTCCTTCTACAGAGGAGGATCTCAGTTCCTGTGCAGGAAGCAGAACTGTTGTTCCACAGGTGTCTGTGGGGTCAGAGACCACGTGAAGTGCCCTTACTGCCATAAGGCAGGTTATGAAAGTATCCAGCATGGCTGTAAGATCAGCCTTTGGCAGCAGAAGGAACTCCTGACTCCTGAGGTGGAGTAATCATGTCTTTTCCCTTCCTCTGGGGACTGGCAGAAAGCATTTGTACATGAGCTTGGTCTGAAAAACAAGGTGGAAAAGAGCAGGGTCTCAGTGGGGCTTCCCATGGTCCACAGGTACCTTCCACAATCCAGTTTGCTCAACTCATTCCAGGTGGTTTTGTTCTGCTAGTAGTTGGCACTGTTTCAGGATGGTTCTTTTTTTGATCAGTTTTGTGATAGTATTTTTGATTTTTTTTTCCTATTTAACTTTTTTCCTAACAGTTTCTTGTAGAATGTCATTCATCTGCACCTCCCTTTTCCTTAATGACAGACAGTCCTGGTGGATTCAGTGTGAAGAACAAATGTACTGAAAAGAATGATTTTAAGATCATTAGGAGAAAGGCAAGTTCATTACTTTGTCAGCAATTTTTCCTCTGAGCTGCAACTCACTGCTAAGTGGTAAAGGTAAGTTAGGAGGATCCCGAGGGAGATGTTCCTGAGTGCCCCTTGCCCCTTTTGCAGGGCATGGGAGAAGCTAAATGCTACTTGCTGCATCTTCAGGCTTTCCTTGCTTCATTTCTGGGATTTTTCTTCTTCCTTAATTGCCACTCTAGGAAGATTTCCAAACTGCAGAAGTAGGATGAGAAAAAGTAACCTGTAGTTGGTTTGTTGGGGGAAGCCTACAGAGGGGTTTGTTGTACGGGGTTTCACCTGAGTCCAGGGACTACAATTGCTGTCCATTCTGAGAGGCTTGGAGGTGCTGATAGGCTTTTTATCATGTCAGTCACCTGGAACACAACTGTCTTGATACCATCTGCCATGGGGTCATGGAACATGGACAGGAAGCTCATTTTTAGCTGTTCAGGGAAACAACCCCTTTCTGCTGTGAGCACAGTAACTCTTCTTCCCTGTGTTCAGAGCATGGTAAGGCACTTGAGGGCTGCTCTGCTTTTGTCAGAACGGGAAAAAGAGAGTTGACTGGATGGACCAGAGCCTAGGTTAAAAGAGGTTTGAAGAAATGGAAAGCAATAAAAACCATTATATATAGTTTTCACAGACTTGCTGGAAGGAGAAATTTGGTGCAGTGATCCAGAATCATGGAGGACCTGATAACTGTGTGTCCCTGTGTTTGCTGAGATGTGCAGAAGAGTGGATAGAAGACAGTCCTGAATCTGGCAGTATCACAATGGTTGCAGATCCCTTGAATTTCAGAGAAGCCAACAGAATTCCTTCTGTTTGTGCCCTTATGGAAAGGCCCCACCATTGCTGGCTGGCTGGCACATGGTTTTTGGGAACAGCAGATAAAGTTACAGGACCTGTAGTGGGTAATATCTGCCTTTTGTCTTTCTGCATAAGGTAACTCCATGCATAGAATTTGTCAGGCTAAAATTTTAAAGGCTGATTTATATGCAGATCACAAAATTAAGTCAAGGGTAGTAGCATCATTCCTAAAATCACATATATCAGCACTGCCTGATGTGACAAATGTTCATTTCTTCTGATGCTGGACCTTCATCAGCTTTTCTGCTGTGTCCCCACGAGCTGTACAGCCCTTCCACTTCCCATTCCAGGTTAGTCTTTTCTGAGAGTGCTTACTTCTTTTTACCTTTTATCAGATCTTTTATTGAGAGTTTATAAAAATGGGAATTTGTCTGCTACTTCAAAAAAACCCCCACAACTATGCTTTCAGGTCAAGTGTTCAGTGCTACACAGATATTTAAAAAAATTTTATGCATTATTACCATCTAATCATTCTGTAGACATTCTTACCATCTAACTTTAGACATAATTGTAAGTAAAAGAAAAATATTGGGAAGTCAGTTCTTTCAGTAATTCCAGTTCATCATATTTATTATAGTTGTGGAGATTTTCAGTGTCAGCTGGAAACCATTCAGGAAATTTTTAATAGTGTGTTGAGAGGATAATTTAGTCTCAGCTTCATACACTCCCCAGATCTGACCCATATGCAAGTAAGAGAAAATCCGTTTTCCCATTTTTGACAGTTGCATGATGACACTCCTTCCCCATCTATTTGATGCTTTTGCATTAGACCCTGCCAGAGGAAATTACACTAAAATTTAGCAACAGTTTGCACTGCATGCAATGCAGATGCTTAAAAAAAAAGTCTAAATATCTGTTTCCAAATGAAGTTATGCTGTGGTGGGATACTGTTTTTTTTGTTGGCTATTTTATCACTTTGAGTAAGAAGATTGCAAAGGACCAGTAGTTTTCCATACTGAATATTCACTTTATAGTTCTACTGTTAGAGTGTCAGCTCTAAAGAGCATAGGGGCTATAACTGATCTCCTGTTTGTTTTTAAAGTGTCGTGTGTATTCATTCTACCAGGCAAAAATACACAGTTGGAGCTATGTTTGATGCTAAACATAAGTTTTTATAGATGTTACTATGCTCAGTGTATAGGCTAGCAGATGGCTATAACATAAAACATGTCTCAAATTGCAAATAACTTTATTTGTAACTCAGTGAAGGAGGACAACTCTCCTGTCAGGCTCCCTGGCCATCGTCGGAGGCCGCGTGTCGTGCCTCTTGTGCCCGGTGAAATGGGGAGGCACAGGGTGATGGATGCAGAAATCTGTTTGTTGTTTCCATTTTGGGCTCACATGGTATTTGTTTGGCTCTGGCTCTAATATTCTTGTACATAGAAGCTGAAGGATGCTGGGTATGTTAATTCCTTGAAACATCGTCTGTATGGACAAAGTGTGCTGCTTTTTACTGCTAATCATCTACAAGCGAGTCTGTGGGGTAATTCGATTTCTACAAACTTTTGAACCACATTAAGGGACTACAAATGCTTTGCTGCATGTCATGGTTAGTGTAACTGAGCACCTCACTCTCACTGAGTTGGTCTGTGTGGGAACTTGAGAAATAATATGATGGACAGGTGAAAATCTCAGCAAGTAGGTTCCCTTCTCCTCTGCAGGGAAGGCCAGGCACATTCTCCTCTTAGTGCTTTGGTTTATTACATGAAAACAGTTATCTGTGACACCAACAGCCGTCAGAGTTCAAGTGTAGTGTGGACAGATTTTAATGTCTCTGAGGTCTCTGCAGCATAAGACCTAAATATGCACTTTAAATATGGCAACTGACCATTTTGAGCTTTGCTTGTTCTGCTCTGCAGCATCCCAGGGGATCTTAGTCACAGGGGTGGGTCTTACTTCAGCTTGAGCAGGAGGCAGAAAACTCCACAGAGAACAGGTCTTATCCCGTCCTCATCTTCAGCTTCCTTATGCCAGAGGTTCAAGGGGTGTGTGTGTACATTTAATATAGCCATAATTACAGGGGTGAAACATCTTATCGATTCACAGACTTTTGTGGATGTGTGCGTGCGGTTTCTGCTAACTGATAGTTGTTCAGATGAAAGTAATTTGATAAAACATTTTGGCCTGTAGTCAGTGTCATTTACACCAGTAATGGATGCCACTAACTAAACACAGTGAGTTCAGCCTACTGTGTGGAAATAGAGTTGGACCAGTCCTGTGTCTTGGTCATTCTGTGGTTTGCTTTGAATCTTTCTCATGTTCCTACATCACCTTGTTGGTTAGGGGTGGAGTTGATCTAAGTACCAGTAGTTGTGATTATGCAATACAATATTCTGGTTTTGTATGACTGACAACTAGGAAAAAATGTGAATTTATTTATCTAATTTTAGCAGCCTGCAGAGTGGCTTGGAGTTAGAGATAGGCACAGTCAGAGGGTGCCGTATCCTGTTTGCAGTGCCTGTCTTTTGGCCAGGGCAGGATCCACCTGATCTGAGCTGCCTAAGGTGAGATGATCAGTCTCATCCACTGGCAACAACTGTGTTTGATGGTATAGCTCCACTGATCCAAAAAAACTGTAGTGAAGAGACTGCACTGGTGGAAGAATGTAAAATACCCAAGTGCAACTTGACTGTACTTTAAAAAACCAGCTGCCTGCTGATATGATTTAATTTTCAGTGCAGCTTAGTTGTAGGGTTGATTTTTTCTTTTTTATCTTAAGACTCATCTGTATTTTTAATGCACTTAAAATAATGCAGTAACTGTTTGCATGTCACTTCTGCCTTCCCTTCCATTTCCCCACAGCGTTCAGGTGTCACTACTGCAAGGCAGGAGGCAGAGCTCAGCTCCTGGCACTGCTGGTCTTTGGCAGGCAGTGCCTGTTGTCTGGCTAAAAAGAAGACTAAGGGAATTTAATATTGTAGCATCCAAAAAAATGAGAGCACTTAATATTAGGTGAGACTGTGTAAAGCTTTCTTATGGATGGAATTTACATTAATGCATTTTATTTTTCCCTCTAAGCAGATCAAATGATAAGCACAGTGTCATGTACACGTTTGTGACTACTCTGTTAAATAGATTTTAATACTTAATATTTTTGTTCTCATGCATTTCAAAGCAGCAATTATTTCCAAGAATAAAGGTAATGAGATTTGTCTTGATGCTCTCAGGATTAAAAAGGGAAAAAAGGCTATATTTTAAGGTGTACCACAGTAGCTGAGAACTTCTGCTCTGTCCTGTCCCACATCTGTGTGTGTTGTCAGTGGGCCTGGTCGGAGTTTTAGCTGCAGTAAGAAGTGTTCCTGTTGATGACATTTCAGAGGCATGCTCAGAAAGGACGCCAAGAAGGAGTCTGGTGGCTGGTTTGGCATCAGGGGTCGGTGGGGAGGGGGAAAGGCTGTAATCCATGTCAGCTGTGAGCCCGGGGTTTTCCCCTCGCGCTGGCTCTCACACGCTCGCTCGCGGGGACATGTGACTTTTGGCCATATTAGCAGGTTTATCCAAGCCTAGCCCCTCTGACTAACAGATGTAGGGAAAAGGGCATTCTGGGATTGCAGCAGTTGCTTTTGAACAACAATGTCCTTTTTGTAAGAATCTGATGCTTCTTAAAAGATGGAACATGACATCATTACCGTTGATCCAAGAAACATTCCTTCAGTAATACTGAGTGTGCTCTGGTTATCAGCTCCCTTCCCCCAGCTCCTTTCTCTTGCTTTTCTGACATGCTTTTTGTCTATTGTTTCATCGGGGGCTGTAAATGTGAAACAGTTGTCTTTCAGTGTTATGTGCTTGTTAGAGCTGGAATCAAGTGGAATATTGTTGATTTATAAGAAAGAAGGAAAGAAAAATACCAAAAATCCCACTTTTCCTCCAGCTTTCACAAATGTAGTGTGCTTCAGGTACAGGCTGAGCTGGAGCTAATTATTTCCCTTCCCACACGGTATTAGTTACTGCATTATGCAAGGGAAGGTGGAAGGGAAGGTTCCTGTGCATCCCACTCGGCCTCATTGGCAGTTGGATATGTCGTGTGCGGGTACCAGCTGCTTCCAAGGCTCCTGCAGTGATCCTGCATCCATAGGAAATCTGTGTGTGCTCACCAGTGCAGTGTGGCAGAGTTGTGAGCCAGCTGCAGATTTTCTGTGTGTTATGTGTATATATATGTTTTTATACTTGGTCCACCACTGGGATTTGAGTGCCAGGTTTTCCTTAGCCCCTGAGAACGAGCTATCACAGAAACACATTCTGGGTTGAATCCTTTTGAATGCTGATTGCTTGGAGGAAAGCTATGGAAAAGCTGGATTTTGCTTCCCTTCCCTGTGTTCTCTCTCCCACGCATGTCTTCATCCTAAAAACTAAACACTCTTGTGGAGTTTACAACTAGGTACATCCTGGCTGTGTCACAGCCCTGCTCTCTGTGCAGCAATGCTGGCAGGTCTCTGAACTAAAAAGGAGCAGGCAGAGTTTGGCACTTTCACGTGCTGCAAGTGTCTAGAGAAGAGAACCACTGATCACAAACGTGAAGGAGTATGTCTTTTTCCATCCCTGCAGAAATTGCTCTGCTGGGAGTGGAAAACAAATGATTCATTGATGGTCTAGAGGCTTGGAGAAAGGTGGAGTTTATAACATCCAGAAATGGAGGAGAAATGGACAGGGGTAGGGCTTTCTGATATGTTGGTTAAACTCAGGTTTGTTGTCTTTTACATCTTCACAGTGGAAAGAAAACCCCAACTTTTTCAAAAAACAAATTTGAGATACAAAATATGAATAAAAAAAACACAAGTCTTGACCAGACAGGGATTTTTGGAAAGAAGCGAGATGTGTGATTGACTGTTTGCCAGTAACAGAAATGTTTTTATTGGTGATAATTTAGAGGATTTGAGAGGAAATCCAAATACCTTCCTTTAATAGAAAAAAAAAAAAAGGTGCATTTTACTTGTAGTGGTTGTTTGGCATCACCTGTTGTCAAGAGACAATACGATTTTAGCACAACTTGACAGTATACTTTTATTCTGGATAGATTCCAAGGTACAAAACTTGGAGTAAGTGAAAGCAAACTTATAGTGCAGACAGAAGGGATTTCATACATTCCCAGTTGTGTCTGAAGTTACAAGTTCCTCTGAAGAAAGCGTTTGCCAATGCACTGTTGTCCATTGTCTCATGTGCTATCACAATTAAAATGTGCTGCCACAATTACAATGTGTGTTTGCCTCTGCTGAAGCAGAGCAGAAGGACGTGCGTTGTGTGTGGAACTGGGTATCTCCTGTCCTGGGTGCTGTTCCTCTGAAGAAGGGAGTTGCATGTAAGCCTCAGAAGAACAGGCAATTTGTGATAGACATCACAAAGTCCGGACAATTCTCTAAGACACAGTGGGTGTAACTCTTCAGAGGGAGGGTGTTACAGTAATATGGGCTCTCTAGTGACAAACTGCTTATTGCTGTAGGTCAGAGATTCTGTGACTGCTCTGCAGGTGATAGAGCAGATGCTGGAGCATGGAATGAGTCCTGTTTTGTGTTTTGGTTTTAATTTGTGTTCTGGAGAAATGGTTGACTGGTGTCACAGTGGGGCTGTGACATTATCTGGGCACACAGGTTGTGTTGCTTCACTCACCAGGGCTGCTTGCTCTGGAGGAAGTGGAAGCTGCTTTGCTGTGTAGCTCGTTTCGGGCTCTTTGAGGAGAGGATAATCAGTGAAGGATTGCAATCTTTTTCTTGCAGTAATCCATGCTGAAGAGGCTCCATTCATACAGATGAGCCAAGGGTTGAAGCAGCACTTTAAACCCAGATAGTCGGTCGGCTCACTGCCCAGCAGGATGCCATCAACCAGCCGAGCGGGCAGCCTGAAGGACCCCGAAATTGCAGAGCTCTTCTTCAAAGAAGATCCAGAAAAGCTCTTCACAGATCTCCGAGAGATTGGCCATGGAAGCTTCGGAGCAGTTTATTTTGTAAGTAGCTCCATGTCTTGTGAATTTTAGCTGTGTCTCTTTTTAAACTGCTGTGACTCCTTTTATATGATGTTTGGGGCTTGGAAGGCGTTTGCATACAAACTGAAAAGAAAACCTGGAAATGTGGTCCTTGCCTGGTGCTTTTATGTGTATTGTTATGTTGCAAGCAGGGATTTAACTGCAAATAGAAAGCATGGACTTCTGCTCCATCAATTCTGACTGGCAATGCAGTTCTCTTAGTCTGATCACCTCCTTATCACCTCTTGTTCCTTGAGAGAAATTGAGTTCTGTCTCCCTTCACTCATCCCCCCAGGCTCCCTTACAGCCATTCTTTGTGTTTGACACCTGAGTGTTGGTGCTTTTATTGTCATTTGTCCTGTCACATCCTTTCCTACTGCAGGCAAGAATCCCAATATCCATCTGCATAAAACTTACTTGACGTGAACGTCTGGACAGCAGAATTTTTCCCAGGCTGCTTGTGTAGCTCAACCAGCAGTGGGATCCTCTTGGTAACCTCCATGCAGGTCGCTGTGTGTTAACAAATACTGTGAGGCCTTCATGAAAAAAACATTTTCCTCAGAAAACCTTTTCAAATTTATAATTGTAGGAGGTGTGGCCAAACCTGCCAGTTTTCCTTCTGAAAGCCATTTGTGTCACTATTTTTTGAGATGCCTATTCAGTGTTAATAATTGCAGCAGACCATGTTGGGAACCTTCCAGCACAAATTTAATGCAGCACAGATGAACTAATTAGGAAAAGCTTCTTAATTTTGTTCCCGGCTTAAAACTATGAGCCACCACTGTCTGGGAACAGATCTGGGGGAGGAACTGTTTTCTAATGAAACAGAACTCACCTGCAGCCTTAAATTCACCTCGTTTACTCCGTGTGGTTAAAGAGTGAATTTAAAAGGAGGGAACTGACAAATATGTCTTCCTGCTCTGTGGAAATACTGTTAAAGAAATATTATTGAAGTTTTTTGGGAACACTGTATGTTAGAGAGGAAACCCATAACACACCTGTGAGCTGGATGCAAACAGCATTCCCAAACACCAACAAGAAGGCATTTGTAGCTGCTTGAGCTTTGTTGTTTTGGTAAGAGCTGATGGCCCATTACCAGCTCCTTCTACAAAGAGATTGAAAATCAGAGGCCATTAATTTCTAGCCCCTTCTTTCTCTTTTTCCCCCACCATTTAAAATTCTCGGTTCATTGTAAGTCAGTATTTACTCACTGTTGAGTCCAATTACTTCCTGGTATTAGGACTGTGCTTCTTTGACAGAAAGTACGTCTGATTTGGCACTCGAAAAAAGACAAGTGTAAGCCGTGCATCACACAACTCCAGCCCATTTTGGGGCTTTATTTTTGTCAAGAGGAAGTTTCTGATAAAGACACGCTCTTGCTAGTTTTGTGTTAGGAAGTTTTAACCTGTAAGTCTTGTCTTGCACTTTTTTTTTACTGCTAGCAGTTCTGAGATTTTGAACATTAAACTGTTTCTTGCAATGTACCCCATATCTCAAACTGAAGCCAAAGACATGAGAAAGCCAACATGGAGAGGGAAAATTAGTGTGAATTAAGCATGAAGAAGGAAAACGTAGGGGAGTCTATGTCTTGGGTACTTTATTCCTCTAAAGTTTCTTTAACAAGATTTTGGTTCTGCCACTGCAAACAATTAAACTTTCTCTAATTAATATAATATTGGATTGTAGTTAATAACTGCTTAAAAGGGTATTACTGAAGCCGATGAAATACTCTACTTTTTCTTTGTGCATGTTTCAGTGCTGAAGTTACTCTGGTCACCAGATGTTGGTCCTTTGTGTGGAGGTTTTGGAGGAAAGCAGGATATATATGTGCATACATGCCTGCCATGAAACAAGCCTTGTTCATTTGGATGGTTTAAGTGAACTGACCTTGTACATCTTCCTGGCTTTTGTCTGGGAACAGTCTTTTTTCGATTGTTCAGGATCACATGGAAACTAAAAAAGCAAATGAAACTCCATTATTTTAATGTTCCCGAGGTGTCAGCTGGGATGCTTCTCCCTCTCTCAGCCTTGTAGGACTGTAGGTGTTCTGGAAATAGAGTTGCTTACTTGGGTTTTCTGATGCACAGCACCCTCTCACCAGGCTGCTTTCATTGCATACAACCTGCACCAAAAAATGCTGTTGATAAATAATGTGTGGGTAATTAACAAATAGAAAAATCCATACAATACTGAAATCTCCCCTGCCTTTTTTAAAATACATTTTAGTGTTTCATTGTTAGTTGTACCTACCTTCCTTCCCTTACAGTAATCATCCCAACAAGAGGTGATACATTTATCTTACCTGATAATTGGCTGAGTGTTTACTTGTGTCTCTTTGTTTCTGTTGCATGCTGCAGTGGCAGAAAGTTTCTTTTTTTTTTTTCTTTCATAATTGACATGAATTTTGCTGGTTCACCTCATGGTTTTAGTTTCTTAGAAACTGCAAGTCTGGCACCTCTGAATCATTTTTGGTATTATCCTTACCCTACTCCCTGCTTTGCAGTGTAATAATAGCTTTTACTTGACACAGGAAACCTACTACACTGGAACACTGCAGATGGAGCAGAAGAATAACCCACTCTCTTTTGTTAGAGCTGGGTTCCTTCTGCTCTACTCTAGTATTTTGCTTGCCTGTTTTATTGCAGTTCTTCACTGATTTAAATGTTTCAGTGATTGTCTCTAATTAATAAAGATCTAGGAGTAAGAATTTTATTCTTCCCTTTTTTGTCTCAAACAACAAAAATAGTCACCCCCAGCCCAACTTCACAGGTAATGTCAGAGGATCCTCTGAAACAGAAAGAAAATTAAAAATAGTATTGGTTCAAGCTTATCATAACTGGTTGAAATAAAGACTGACAGGGAATTCTGGGAATCTCTTTTAATGAATAGCAGAATTAAAACATGACTAAAAAATCTTTTTACGAAAGGCAGAGCCCTGATACTTTATTAATCCATGTTCTGATAGGCTGTACTTGATAGTACAAATATATTAAAAATCAGCATTTTCATCAGTCATTAATGAATGCTGAGGTGCACATTACTCTGATTTATATCATTTGGCTTCGTGTCCAAGTTGATTATTCTTATCAGGGAGACTCTGAGGTCTTTTCCTCCACCACCCTCCCATGCTGCTGAAATCCTTAACAGAGGAAATCTGGGGTCTTGTCTGGAACCATCCTTCCTGTGAGGTGCTACCTCTTCTCCTGGCAGGGGGAATGAATCCTTGCTTTGGTGCTGAATTAAAAAAAAAACTTCCTGTCTGGTTGTTACGTTGGATTGTTACTATCAGAAGTCATGAAGTTTGCCTTTGAAGTGCAAAAAACCACATACATTTCTTGTGCAGTGTAAATAACAGTAATGTGGGACGGAGAAAGTAAAAGTCCAGTCTGAAGATGGGTGGCTTAGATCACTGCCATCTTTCTCTATATCGTGGGCATTCCTCTAAGACACAAAAGCTGATATTGGGGAGCACTGGGGAGAAAAACCAGCAGTGTCTGGAGCAAGTATCTCCTATGCATCCTGAGACATCTTCCCTTATGGTTTGAATGGAACATGGGGGCTGAGCCTTGCTTCTGTTTTGTTTGTAATGGACCTGAGCAGGGAGGGAAGTTGATTTAGGGAAAATCCCTTCTACTTGAATCAGAGCTGCTTTTGTAAAGCTGTGATTTTTAATTTAGAAGTCCCAGTGCAGAGACTTGCTGGATTGCTGAGCATGGAGAAATGTCATACCTTGTCTCACAGACAGGAGGGTGATCTTTCACTTCGGAAAGAAATTTCCAATAGATGCAGCAGTCACACCCCTTGGAAGATATTTTAGTTTAACTCTCTGCACAAGTTAGCTGAGGGATAAAGATGTTTTTTTGTGTGTACGTTTGGTTTGCATCTTATGGGAAATGGGGCCCTGAAGGAACTGATGCACCGTGTTTTCCTGTTGCAGGCACGTGATGTGCGCACCAATGAAGTGGTGGCCATCAAGAAAATGTCATATAGTGGGAAGCAGTCCAATGAGGTACGTGGAGCATGTTGTACATTAAACCTTGACCATTGCAAAGACTTATTATATGGGATGATTTTAATTATCTTGGGTTCCTGTAGAGAAATCTCTTCTATAACTGTAAAGGTGATTGAGGGTACTGTGTAAACAAAACAAATCAGTTTACTGTTCTCAGTTTATTTCTGCCTAATCTACTCCTGGAAAAGATGGGTAGGACTCTCTTCTTCCAGGCCCCTTTGGGACCACATAAATGTGTAGAAAGGAAAAAAGAAAATTAAAAATGATGGGGTTGTATGTTAGTGTCTTATTGCCCCTAAACGTTTCATTTTAAATACCTTAAAAAAAAAACATGTTGCTTCCTGGACAAAGGAATAATAGCACTGGATGCAGCACTGAGAATTTCAGAGGGAGCCTTGCTTGTACAAAGTAGTGAGGCGGAACCCATCCTTCCTTGGAATGACTGTGTTCATGAGCAGCTGAAACAAAGGCAAAACAGCAGTGAATGAATGAGTGTGAAAATCTGAACAGCAGCATAATTCTGGAAGAACTGCCAGAGCCAGGGATTAAGGCACTCTTTGCAGAGAGGTCTGCAAAAGTGGGCCTCTGAGATTTAGACATTGTGTTTTTATGGCCACCCCAGATGTGTCTCTTTTCCCTAGGACATTTAGTAGAGATAGTTGATTTTATACTTGAAATGTTTAAGTGCTGATACAGATTCTTGAAAAGCCCAACGTGACATGAGCAGCTGATTTGGTATTATTTCTGGTAAATAACATGTATCAAATCGTGGCATGATTTTTCAACAGAAGTATTTATTGTAAGCATGTTGTTCCAGGCATTTATGGTTCCCTCCCTCCATTCTCTGTATTCCAATCTTAGAAGCAGCTTTGCTCCGATGAGTTTGACTAACAGCTCATTGCTTTCTGTGCCTTTTGTGTATTGATCATCTGCACTCCCAGGAGCTGAACTATTCCTTCCTCTCTGTGTGTGTATGTCTGTGTAGGAGGTAGAGGTGGCAGTGTCTCTCCAGCAGTCCTGAATTCCAGCTTCATAGTTAAATTTGCTGTGCCTGTTTCTGTTTTGTCACTGCGGTGACTTGTTTAACTGTGTACTGATGAAAGAATAATTTGTACTTGCTACTTGTCCTACTGTTTTAATTACTGTGAGCTATAAATACTCTATTCACATGAATGAAACAAACTGTGCATGCTTCAGAAATAGCTTTTGTTTGTCTTCAATGCGTATGTTTCTTTATTTTGAAGAAAGTAATAAGAGGAGGATTAAAACTTTCTATTTTACTTCCATACTTATTTGTTTTGTTCAGAAGTTTGCTGGAGTATCCAACCTATGTAAAGAAAATTGATTAAGGGCATTCTGGTATCATTTGTATTTACTTTGGTTTCATAGTAAGATTTTATCATTGCTGGGAACAATAATTCCCTGAAATAAGTTCATATTTTATACTAAAAATAAGTTTAAAACCTTTGAAAAATGTATTACTGTGCTCTTAATGTGATCTTGGGGCTTTTTTTATGCAGGAAATCGTGACTACTTCTTGACTAGTATATCACCTCTCTCTCCCAATGTAGAAGTGCTTTCTTGATTTGGCTTTTATTGCTTAGTACCTCAAAACCTTTGAGGCTGAAGGTAAAAGGCAGCGAGGTCATTCCAGTGTCAGTGAGAGAGTTTATGTTAGTATAACTGCATTGTGTCATTCTCATGACGTTTCTGGTGTTGAGAAATGCTTAACTTAGTCAATCAGCTGCCTCAGTTGTGGCTTCCATGTTCCCTGGTTTCGTGTGTTTCTCTAACCCTAAAATTTTTATTGAGGAGGATTTGGGTTTTGCACATGTTTTCCAAAGCATTAGGGTAGATGAACCCTCTGTCCCTCTATGAATCCCAACCACATACCTGTACCTGAGGTAGAGTGTGCTGAGGGATTAACAGGACCTGGAAAACAGCTTTTGAACTTTTGGGTGTTAGGTAAGGTTTTTCTACCTTTGGTTAACTTCAGAACTGATACTCTCTTGCTCAAAAACATTTGCAGTGTCAACACTCTTGTGTTGACTCCTACATACTTAAATGGTTTCAGCTACTGCATTTGGTTTTGAAAATCTTTCCTGGTAGTTGTAGTTTTGCTGTTGCACTCACAAGCTTTTGCCTTCCTTGCCTGAGGAGATGTGGATGTGCAGCAAGTGGGAGAACTTGAAGGTCTCTGAGGGGAGCAGTGGCAGTGTCAAGGCAGACACTGGAACTTGGCATTTAGGTCTCTTCTGTACTTCTAACTTGCACTGCAGTGCTCCCCTTATTATAAGCCTGGGCCTTGTTTTATCTGTTTATTTTTTTTTTCCCTGAAGAACCAATCCCTTGTCTAGTAGGTAACTCATTTCAAATTGGTCCTTGTAAAAACTAAACTAGTAATAGAGAGAGAAATGTTATCAAGAACGTGGTCAGATATTTGGTGGCTGATAAATGGGACCTCATCCAGTGTATTATAGTGACTAGTAGGGGTAGGTCTTTATAGCTACAAGAGTTAAGAGGGAGACGGCTGATCCTGCTGGAGGACACTTATCACCCACATCTCTTTCAGATTGGAGTGTATGTTTGATTTGACAACTGAAATGGTATCTGTTTAAAGAGGATCTCTTCTTTTTTGAGGACTTGCTCAGATATTAAGTGTTTACCAGTATATCGTATGCACACATAAAATATAAAGTATTGCACTGATGAGAGATCCTTGCATACAGCCTAATTAATCAACAACTTGTTTTGTAGGTCTACTGAGGAGTTAAACAGTGAACATCACAGTGTTGATGCAAATTTATTTTGATTTGAAACCTTGAGATAGTTTTGCCTCTTAAAATAATTAAGTGACATAATAACAACAACCAAAAAAACCAAAGGTAACAGTTGTATAAAGTCATTCTATTCGTTTTATTCCCTACAGAAATGGCAGGATATTATTAAGGAAGTCAAGTTCCTCCAAAGAATAAAACACCCTAACAGTATAGAATACAAAGGCTGCTATCTGCGGGAGCATACAGCATGGGTAAGCATCTGCTGCTCTGCACTTCTCTTGCCTTGGTTAAGGAAGCTTTAAAATCTCTCCAGCTGGCTTTTGGGAGCCACCTGAGCCACTGGTATTGCACAGACTCAGAGGAGCTTACAGGTGATCAGTAAAACTGAATGTAGTTTTTGGAATTGATCTAGGGAAGCTTTCACTTACAGAATAAGGTGAATGTGCTGCTGTTCTAGTGTATTTAGCTTCATGTAAATGAGTATTTAAAACAATGCACACCCATCATTGACCAAGTTTTGCAGTACAATATACTAAAGAAATCATATTGTTGAACTAATAGTTTAAGTTGTAAGTACTGTTCATGTATTAGCTACAATAAATCTGTAGGACAAAGTTTTAGTTTCTCTTTTGCAAATCTGACTGGAACAGAATCTTAAGTAAATCCCTAAATAGCCCTTTAATACTCTGATAAGCTTGTTAAGTGCAATTTAAGGTTCCTGTTAAGTATGTGCATATAAAATACGATATGTAATACAATACATAACTGGTTATGAATGTGCTTTTGCTTTCCCTACAAGTGTTGTTACTTGGTATCTTACACAGGAGGGTTATGCTAATGCCAGTTAGAGCTGTGCTTATGGGAGGGGCCAGTGTGACAGTGCTGGGATGGGGCTTATGTTCCAAGCAATACTTGCTTTGTAATGGCAGTTTGCACTGTGTGCTCCAAGGGTCAGTTCCAGATTTCTCCATAGAAGTCTAGAAAACGTACATTTACTGTTAGAGATTTTTCTAACAACTACTTTGATTTCTTCCCATACAGCTTGTTATGGAATATTGTTTAGGATCAGCATCAGACTTACTAGAAGGTATGTCACGCGTGTTTGTGTGGTGGAAAGTCAGAAGTATAGTACTGAAGTAGGAGGTTACAGCATCACAGAATTGTCCTTGAGTATATAGTTTTATCTGGGGACAGAGAGTGTGTGAACAGGCACAGCCTGTCCAATTTTTGCATGTCTGTAGTGGGTTTTCTGTAGAATATTGGCTTTCCTAGGTGCTCTGTTTTCTCCTTGGTTCGTGTTAAAGTTGTCAGTCAGCTATTTGTTTTCTTCTGAGTTTTAGGTTCTCCTGTCATGACAATTCAAGATTTATTCCTGAAAACCCTTGCTGTTGATCCTAGTGCTTACAAACAACTGTAGGCCTGTTGACTAAAATAGCACTGCAGCAGTATTAGGGTTTTGCTTGATGAGGCCGTTTGTTAAATGGTCGTTTTTCTACCAGGCTTCTTGTAGTGAACTTTCTTTGAAGATATATGTTTGGCCAGTAAGTTGTTCAGCTACTTTCCTTGCCAGAAGCATTTCAGGACAAAAGGCTGAGCTGCCAGAGTCTCATCTGTATTGCTACAGTTTATTTGAGTGTGAATTGTTGTAAAGGTCTAGGGTTTAGTGTTTAGCTTCATTAATGGAAAACTGGATACTGAGTCTCAAATAGTTACTTGGGAGAATGGTCACAGAACTGACAGGAATGTAGTTTATGGTTGCAGAGTAGTCTCTTTGGTAGTAAATAGCTGCTGTTTTACAGTTAGAAGATTACATCTGATTATAGATTGTGAACTAATTTTACATTGGCTTCTCATGCTGAACCTAGTGAAAATAAACTTTTAGTATTTCTGTTGACATTGTTAAGAGTACTCAGTTGCATGCTGCAAACTGTATTGTTTTCTGTAATATTGAATTTCACATAAATTCTTTCCTTAAGTTCATAAAAAGCCATTGCAAGAAGTGGAAATAGCAGCAATTACCCATGGTGCTCTCCAGGGATTAGCATACTTGCATTCTCACAATATGATCCATAGGTAAGTGGTTATACTTTTGCTGTCTCACACACTTACAGGTAATTTATTTTATTGATTGTATTACCTTCATCCCAAATTTAATATTGTAAGCAGAGATCTTCTTTTCACAGTGTCCATATGCTCCCAAACAAGTGATTTACAGCAGTCTAAACAGTAGCAAACTCTGTATCTGCACATGCACTGTGTCTTACAGCTGGTGTTCATAATTTCTGTAGAATTCCTTTGAATCTGCTAAGCTTTTCAATCCTTGATCCAATGCTGATTGTCCCTGAAGCAGTGCAAGTCAGGCTGAGTTCACCCAAATAACTCATAGGAACTGCAAGGCCAAGATTGCTGGGGTGGGGGGGAGCACTAATTCTTGAAAAATTAGTTTTTCATGAACATGTTGAGTAGCACACAGTAAGTTTGGGATGCAGATGTTCTTTGTGTTTAACATGCTGCATTTTAGTGGGATGAAGAATTTGAATAGTTACATTATTAGGTCTTTTTGAAAATCATTGATAGTATATTTGATTTAGAAGATTTTGCTGAACTGTATGTGAAGTTTATCCTGGTGTGCCATTTTAAGTTGATTTTTAAGACAAACATTAAGACTAACATTTAAGACAAAAGATTCCAAAATCAAGGGCCACATTAAACAATTAACCTAATGGTTAAAGACTTTGTATTTGGAAGAAAAATGGGTATTTTGTGGCTTTTGGAGGAAATGTGGGTATTTTACAGCTTGAACATGTGAATACTGGTGTGTTTTGTAGTCTGTCCAATAGAAAGTTTTCTTCTTTGGAGAGGAGTAATACTGACACTTGTATTCTATAACCAGAGATATCAAGGCAGGAAACATCCTGCTGACAGAGCCAGGACAGGTGAAACTTGCTGACTTTGGGTCTGCTTCCATAGCATCTCCTGCCAACTCATTTGTGGGGACGCCATATTGGTAAGCCAAGAGTTTGACTTATTTCTGGCTTTCTGAAGTGAAAAGATCATTTACTGGCTATTTAATATACTTGGGCTTAGTGGAGCTAGCTTTGTAATGTTCTAGTCGTGGTAGTGATAAAATGTACTTTGTACAAAAAAAAAATAAAAATTAAATAGTAACTAGGCTCTGGGTTCCAAGAAATTGTGAATCCTTGTATTTGTAGTTCACGAAAAGTAATAAAAATGTTTTGTTGTTCTTCTTACACTGACCTTAAGTGGTAGAGGTGGGATTGAATCATCTGTAATATATTTTAATCACTCCCCCCAGTGGCTTAAACAATTCCTATGTTCTTACCGCGTCTGGTTGTTGAAATAACTGAAGTGTTTTTTCTTTCATAGGAAAGGCCAGGTTCATTGAACAAACCCCTTTGCAGATCCCTTGTATGCTTTTGATCTCTTACACCTAATCTGTGGTGTTTACACAACTGCATGCTATAATTATTTCACCAGAGTTGGTCAGCCAGCTAAACTATTGGAAATGTGGGAGGGTGAGAAGGTGGCGATACTCAGAAATGGAGAGCTGGGCAAAGCACAGGAGAACATCGTGCAGCCTCTGCAGGCGTGCACTGGTGTGGGTGCCTGGTCTTTGTTCCCAGTATCCCATGGTCATGCCTGATGGCTTGGGGAATGATTTGTTTATGGTAGCTGAAATCAGTGAAATAGCCTGTTTCACACTGATGAAGATAAGGTGTTCCGTTGCCCATTTATGAGAACCAATTTCCTATTTTAGGATGGCCCCAGAAGTGATTTTAGCCATGGATGAAGGGCAGTATGATGGCAAAGTAGATGTTTGGTCTCTTGGAATTACCTGTATTGAGTTAGGTAAGTTATTTCCTTTGACAAATAGTAAAATGTAGATATTTAATACCTAGAACTAATTCAACTGAATCACAGTGCAGAAGATCTGTGCTTCTTTCATTGTCCTGGTTTTTCTGGGACTTGAGTTTTGGAGAAAGGAACTAAATGTGCTCTCTAAAATACAAGTCAAGTCTCCAATTTAATGTTTATTGAGCTGGTGTTTTCATTACCTGAAGAAAAAGAGTTATATAGACAAAGACAGTAGCCAAGTGATATCACTAAGGGTGTTCACGTTCTGTGGGAGAGGCAGTTAACTTCTGAACTGAAAAACTGCTGAACAGCTTTAGAAATGAACCATTAAAACTACCAGTGTGGAAATGTATTTAATGCTGTAAGTTGATAACTGTTTGCATGAAAATTTAAGATGCATTAACAAGTCCTGCAGTAATGAAGTTTTGGGTAAGTTGGCACTTTCAAAGCTATATGCAGTGTATGTTGTCACTTGTGAATAGATTTATTTTCTTTTCTTTAGACAGAAAGATAGGGAATAATTCAATTTTGAAGTGGTAACTTGTAAGTCGAAGCCTAAAGAAAGGATGGCATTGCCATTACAACAGAGTCTTAAAAGCAGAATGTCAGTTTAAAAGGACATTGTTAGTATGGCATTCTATTTCAATTTAACACGTAATGTTTTCTTGGAACAAAAATACCCTCACTGAAGCACAACACCATGCACACTACTGCAGTGCACCTGGGGCTGTCCTCCCATCCTTGTCAGATCTGATTGCTCAGACTCCAACCCGACCTCAGTTGGAGGAGCAGCCCAGCCGGGCAGTGAGAGCTCTCAGGAACACACTAATCCATGTGAACTGCACAGTTTAGCTAAAAATGCTGTCTGGCATTCCAAACTGTCAACTTCATTTTCTTCCAGGACATGAAATAGATTCTTTCTTCAGAGCAGAGTTGTTGTGTGGGTTTTTTGGTGGGGTTTTTTTTTTTTTTTTGGTTGCCAATATAAAGCAAGTTTAAGGGGTGTGACTGTCATGACAGAACCCTGCTCCGAGTGGAGTAAGGAGACTTGGCTGGCTGCAGGGCTCCAGGAATGCAGTGAGCTCATGGCCACCACACCCCCGGGAGCCTCCTGCACGCCGCGTTCTTGCGGGATGAAGCGTTTGGCTTCGTCGTCGGCTGCTGGCGTGGTGGGAGGTGAGACTAGGTCAGGACAGCAGAGTGCTGTAGGCTGGGTCGGTGTGGCTGGCTCGGTTGTGTTGGTTTGAGTAAGCCTGGGAAGGCAGCAGAAAAACGGCATGTCTAGTAGTCTTCTCAAATTATCACTTAAGTCTTAAAAATGGCCTCATTGAGGGCTCAGTTTCAGGGTTTCCTGAAGATTTCTGCTCATTCAGGTGAGTTAAGAGCAAAAAAGCTACGGAGAACAGTCAGTTAAAATAGTTTAATGAATAAGCAGTCTGATCGCTGATAGCAGCAGCTAGTTATCTGACAGATCAGAGAAGGTAAAGTGCTACATTTGAGGAAAGACTTAGCTCCTCAATTTTCTCATTCTGAGGAATTTGTAGAACTTAGTCCATCCTGCCATAGTCATGAATGAACTATGATCTCTGATTCATACCTCACTGCTACTATTTGACTCAAAACTGAGGAGCAGAATAAGAAAACCAGCATTATTTTTTTTCCTTGTTTGTTTGTTTGGGTTTTTGGGGAGTTTTTTGGGTTTTTTTGAGGAAGGAAAGTTTTCTGTTGCATTTTGACTGGTGTAGGAACGTCCTCGTGGCCTGACCACCTTCTCTGGAATGTTTATGGCGAGGCTGAGCTTTATAAGTTTACCCCATAAGCATTCTGGTAAAGCTTCAATTTTGTTGTTACAGTGAGATCATCTCCTTCCTCATTAAGCTTTCATGCTGTGTCAGTCTATAAGAGTAACACAGGCTTGAAAGAGAGAAGAGCCAAAGAGAATGCAACTCTCAAAATAGTATAAAGAGTTGGCCTGTTGCTGACTTCCTGCCCATGTGCTTAGTCAGTTAAGTGTGATTTGATGGTTCTTGTAACCAGCCTTTTCTTCATCACTACTGTCCTGCTAGAAATAAATATTTCTTAGCTTTTTAGCAACTGTAGATTAAAAAAAAAAGAAGAGGGGAGTGTATGAAACCAAGAATGCTTAGTGGCTAAACACCGAGTATAGAGCTTACTGTTAACTTATTCCTATTTTAGTACATTACAGTGAGTCAGAGAACTCAACTATGATAAACCACGTAATTTAAAAGCTTGAGAGGACAAGGCATTTGATCTTCAAAGGGCTTTCATCTTCTGCAATGGCACAGGACTTATGCCAACATATCTGTCTGATTGCAGGGTAGGGTTGGTTTGGGGTTCCATGTTCAGGCAGTAGGGATTTTGCTGATGTGGTTTTCTGTTTAAAGGGATGTAAACTAAAAAAAAAAAAAAACTCTGAGCAAAACCATGGGACTATCTCCCTGTATAAAACTTCTTTTCTCTTGTGTGCAGCGGAAAGGAAGCCTCCTTTGTTTAACATGAACGCAATGAGTGCCTTATATCACATAGCGCAGAATGAATCCCCTACACTACAGTCTAATGAATGGTGAGTATTGCTGAGGGAGGAATGTTGTAGGGAATTGCTGTAAATGGAGTGCTTTGTCATGCTGAGTTCTTGAAATGGCTGGATTCCTGTTGGGAGGATGTGAGCTGGAAGGTTCTCATTAGATTCACTATACATTTTATATACAAAGTTGACCAATTACTAAATATACATTTGAGGCTCCGCAGTGTAGTAGAAACAGGACATGCTGCTGGAAGAACATAAGATCCTGTAAAAAACTCCGTTCATGGGTCAGTAAACTTCTGAAGCTCCCAAGCCTGCCAAAACTGTGGTTTTTAGTGTTTTTTTAATCACAAACCACACTGTCAATTCCTAAATCTTGTTTTGTTGAAGTGTTGCTCTGCAAGATGAAGACACAGCTTGTGTGTGGCAAGTGTCTGTTGCATAAACTTCAGAAGAATAAAGCACAGTAGTAACATTTTGTGCCTTCCAGCCTCAACAACTGTCTTTTGAAACAGCAAACACAGTCAACTAATTTCAAAAGTTAAAAACTTCCTAACTGTGGTTTACTGAGCCATAGTACTAGGCCTCCAACATAATACATTGTCCCTTGTTTTTAGAAATATTTTTCTACTTTTGAGATTTTTCTGGTTAAACTATTTCATGCCCTGGTGATCGACTAAACATTCAAATTTCTTTATGCATTTTTCTGACCGAAAAAGTGCAGTAATTTAATTTATTGAAAATTTGCAGTAGCAAACCCTCCCATTACATGATGGGATGGGGGGAGTAATGAGGGTGGAAAGAAATAAAGCCTGTTCAACTGATGTACTGCTGTTTTTGAGGTATAATCCTGACCTTCTGATGACCTGTGTTCAGAGAAAGAAGGGGCAAAATATAGACTTTTAGCTTACAGAAGGAGAGAAGTTACTTAACAAATCCTGACTTTAATTCTTACTGGTGACAGATTGCACAATAGTGTAAAGTCATGTCAGAGGGGCCACAGGCATTTCAGGAATCGTACTTCAATACCTGGATAAAACACCTGTGCAGAGGTGGAATGGGACAGGGGCTCTGATTAGAGCTTGAGAATTTGTGCAGTGTAGAACTTGACAGAGTTGATGCTCACACTGAACTATTTGGGTGTCTGCTTTTATACAGAACTCTCCTTCCTCTTGAATTGGGCCATAGTTTTGCATTCTTAAGCCAAAACATTCTGTCTGTAAGTTAAAGGGATCTACCTACTCATACTGGTGGGCTGTGGCTTGACTAGGGATGTCAGAAGCTGTAGGGTGAAGTACTGGGTCTGTGTGGTTTCTCCCCACTTTTTCTGCTAAGAGCACCCAAATGTGAGTATCTTGATTGCTTAATGAATTAAACTGGGTCGTTAACTCAGATGGATTTTTTTCTTTCCTCTCCTTGACACAGGTCTGATTATTTTCGAAACTTCGTAGATTCTTGCCTCCAGAAAATTCCTCAAGACAGGCCTACATCAGAGGAGCTTCTGAAGGTTGGCTTGCTTGTCCTTTTTGCTTTCCATATGGTATTAAAAGGGGCTGTGCCCTGTGATGGTGTTCTTTCTCATCTGCTGTACAAGGTTATGGTTTAGTGATGCTCTCTCTGCCTGAACACCTTTGAGCTGGGAGTGCTCTGGGGTGTACTGAGCTGGCAGTCCCAGCTTTATTGCCTCTCTGCAGTGTCCCAGTGTTCTCAGCTGACTCTCCTAGACAGCCTTGGAGTTCTCACCATGAAAGGTCACTCCATCAGGTGACAGTGGGTGACCATCAACTTGTCGAGAGTTTGTTTTTTGAACTCGGTCTGTCATTGCAGTGATTATAATTAATCCCAACAGAGCTGCCATGCATTAACTAACAAATACATTTTGTTACTTCCCTCTTTATTCTCTTCTGTATACACCCCAAGGCTTTGTAGCCTCTCCCATCACCTGTGTGCTTTGCAGAGACCTGAAATCTGCTGTTCTAATAGTATCCCTGGGGGAAAGGGGGCAGAGGAAAGCAGTTTTTCCTCACCATATTTTTCCTTGATATGAAGAAGCATTAGCAATCTGCAGGTTTTCTTTTGCTTTATTTCTTAGATATTTTTTTATTCCATTTGTGCTCCTGAGTGCTGCAGGTACTTGGCTTTCCTCGTTCTGGTCTGGAGACAAAACCAGTGGGGTAGATTGTTGCAAAAAGCTGACGTGTTCCTGAGTGAACAGAACTCACATAGAAGTTGGGTGTTAGAGCTGCTTTATTGGGTGACTTTGGTGGATTTCCTTTGTGGCATCAGGTGGCATTCAGAATTTTGCTAACTTGTCATTCTCTTTACAGTGCTCGTGACATTTTGGGTTTCTTTTTATCCTGGCCCTTTTTCTGCTAAACAGTGTTTTTCCAAATTTTTTGCATTGCAGGGAAATAGATGCTATTTATGAAGGTTTTATCAGCACCTTTTTGAATGGTTTTACCTAAAAATGGCTCGAAGGACTTGTGCCTCTTTGAAAACTGTCTATTCAGAAAGTAAATGCAATTATCCAGGAAAGGTTTCAGTGTGGGTGTGTAGTCCTGCCATTTCAGAATTCTGCAGATTGGTTTTATTTTGAGCAATGTGCTGCAATTAAAGTGAACATTGATGGAAATGAAACGTTTGGGAATGTATTCCTTCCATATCTATAGTCTGAAACAGCTGCAATGCCACTTCACAGGGACAGGTAGGGAATGTGACATGTTGGGAACAGCAATGCAGTTCTCCAAAGGAACAAAATGAAAGTAGCGGTGGTGTTAATAATGACTCATGCTTGCACAGCACATTGCATCTGGAGACTGCAAAAGCTGCTTCTGACATACATAGACAGGACTTGTTTTACCTATTGGCAAAATGTAACCACCTTTGCAGAGACATGGGGTGATTATCTCCCCCCCCCCAAAAAAAAAAAAGATCAGAACATGGTGAACTGTTCGAGAACTGGGCTCTAAGGTTCACAGCCTATTTTATGACTCAGAGTTGTATGATGAATATTTGATTCTCAGGCTTTTCTAAACAAGGAAAAAGGTTTTATAGTGAGGGTTAGCTCATGAGTTAATTAACATTTGGTTAAAGATACTAGCCAGCCTTGCATCTTAAGCTTTTACATGATGTTTGTTGCTCTGCCCTCACTAAACCACAAGCAGATAACGTCTCTAAAGTCTAGGTATATACTGAGCACGTTTTCGTGGTATGTGAAATACCATTTCCAGGTTTTTTGCATCTTTTTTTTTTGGTGGAAGTCTGCCATCAGAAAGCAATTATTCTGAAATCTATCTGAATCATGAAGTCTCAAAAACAGTACCAGCGTGAGGTAGGAAGGTGTTCTTCTCCTGTGCAGGGAAGAGGGCTAATAAGCCCAACTACAGCTCATCGTTGTATCCTCAAAGCCTATGTGTTGGAGGCACGAGAGTCACTCACCTGTTTGTGTGTTCTACAGCACATGTTTGTTCTTCGAGAGCGGCCCGAAACAGTGTTAATAGACCTGATTCAGAGAACAAAGGATGCAGTGAGAGAACTGGACAACCTGCAGTATCGTAAAATGAAGAAGCTCCTCTTCCAAGAGGCCCACAATGGCCCTGCAGTGGAAACACAGGAGGAGGAGGAGGTGAGAGAAATGTTTGATTTCATCACTGAACCAGAGAAAACGAGGCTGTCATTTAAATAACCACAACTCAGATACTGCTAAAACAAAGGGAGGCTGTTTACACACCTGGCTCTGATGCTGTCTCTCCCCTCTGTGCTTGGAATAAAGCTACCTCAAGGCACAAACAAGGACAAACAGGGTAGATGCCTAGTGCTGGCAAGAAGCTGTGCCATGTGTTCATGCTTGAACAGTCAGCTTCCAGTTCTGTAAATCCTTGCTTTCTTTGCCTGTTTATGAGGCTTCATGAGGACTCTTTAGCAATTGCAGTTAACCTCTATTTAACCATATCTCCAAGGCCTTGAAAATCTTATAGTTTTGTCTGAGGATGCTGTTCTAAGACATAAAAATTTGTACTTGATTTATTTTAAAAAAAAAAAGTCATCAAGGAAATTAATTTATCTTTTTTGGGTTGAGTGCTGCAGTCACCATGCAGTGATGGGGACTCTGAATTGCAGTTCTCCAGTACTGAAGTTCTGCAGTACAGAAAGAAACCTGTGAGGTGCAGGGTCCCAGCTGAGCACTCGGGTGATGCTGGTGTCAGAACAGTTTCTGGTGACACACTGTAGCTGATACATGATAGAGTTCAGCTTGTTAACAGGCTTGCTGTCGAAAAGGATCTGACATCAGCCAGTTAATCTTGACAAGGCCGATTCCTTCCTCTCCCCAGCATCCCCCAAGAAAAACGTTTGATGGCAGTGCCTGGAGGGTGGAAGCTGCCACGACGTGGCAGGTGGATGCCTTTAGAAAGAAATGGAATGAATGTTCCATTTGGTAATGTCCACAGATACAAGTGGGATGGGTCTGAATTTTCATAATAATTCCTTTCTCCCAGGAACAAGATCATGGTGTCGGCAGGACGGGAACGGTGAACAGTGTCGGAAGTAATCAGTCCATTCCTAGTATGTCTATCAGTGCCAGTAGCCAAAGCAGTAGTGTTAACAGTCTTCCAGATGCCTCGGATGATAAGAGCGAGCTGGATATGATGGAGGGGGACCACACCGTGATGTCAAATAGCTCTGTCATTCATTTAAAGCCGGTAAGCTCTGGATTTTTACCAGTGAACTTTGAAGGTGTAAAATGGGAGAGGATTTGGTTGGCACATCAGCAAAAAGTCAACTGCTTCCAATCCCGAGTCATTATCTGCAGGTTCTATTATTGTGCCCCAAATGTATGAATGTGCACTGGAAACTTGGGAAGGTTACTGTGAAAGTCGCTTATTTTTGTTAATTCACTAAAATTATTTTACTAATTGAATTGTTTTGAAAGCAGTTTGCTTTATTGGGAGGAGTTGGAATGGCAGGTTGTAAATAGGCTTGTTTAGTGGATGCCCTTAATTTGCAGAGCACTGTTTTGTCAGACAACAGGATGTGAGAGTTCCACCTTCTTACCTCCTTGTTAGTGAATTCTTAAATTCAAGACCCACAACAGTAGCTGAAATCTGTTCTGCAGCTTCCCAGCACTTGATTTGAATATTTGGTTAGTGAATAAAGGTGCATGGAAAAAGAAATGAAGTGGAAACCACTTCCCTGCTTTCCCTCTGCCCGATGAAGGGTAAGCTGGGCTGGAGTTCCTCGGAGCCATGCTGCCATGGAGGGGTTACCACTCGTTAGCTCAAAGCACCACCGTTTCCCTGGCTAATGATAGGTGTGGTTAGAATGTCTTGTTCTTTGCCCAGATATGCAACAAAGACACAGGTATTTCCTCGGGGAGTTAATTAGTGTATCATATCTAACTAGTAATCGCACTGTGATGAATGACAAACTCAAAATAAGAATGTGGAATACACCATGACAAATTCTAAAATTTGCTTTGAGGTGTTTCTGCAGTGGGTGTAATGAAAATCTTCTGTCTTTCAGAGTTACAAAGATGTTGGTTTTGTCTTTCAGACTTGATAAAATCTACTTTATACTTTTCATGTTTTGTTGAAGTAAACTGTTTAACTCGTCTTTCAGTTTTCCATTTATTTTTCTCATTTTCAGCTCTAATTAGTAATTTTCCTCTTAGTAATAAAAATTCACAATGAAATTTCCAAGAGCGAAGATCCTAGATCAGAGCTCTTGTTGCAGTATATTCCTTCACCCATCTTATTGGCAGGAGGATGTTTCAGGGCTGATGAATGTAAAATGTTTTTCCTTCCTTTTGTAATGGGTTTTGGAAAAAAAAAACCTAAATCTTTAGTAACACAGATTCTTTTTATTCCCTGACGTTCACATTTGCTGATAAGGAGGAAGAAAACTACAGAGAGGAGTCGGATCCTCGAACAAGGGCATCAGAACCCCAGTCTCCTCCCCAAGTATCTCGCCACAAGTCTCATTATCGCAACCGAGAGCACTTTGCTACCATACGCACAGCATCGCTGGTACGTGGGGGTTTTACTTTGGTGGAGTTGTGTAGGGAGGGATGCTTTGAACCACAGCTCTGTGCAGCTACTTAGAGCTTGCAGGATTTCATCAGAATGTGAGCTATCCTCGCTGACTGAGATACTATCACTGAAATAGTTTAGTGTCAGCTAATAAAGCATAAATGAGACACCTTGGCCAATGTAATTTGTGTATATTAAATAGTTTCAAACCCAATGTGCCCAGTACAATGTAGGAAAGCATCTATTATAATAAGCTGGCTTTTATTTTCATATGCGTGTTATGAATATTTGTGTGTGTCTATATATCCACCCTCATTGCATTAGGCTAAAAGGCCATTATTTAGTACCAGCTTTATAACAATTGTACTGTTTTTCTGCTGGAGCCCATGTGAGCTTATCTTCTACAGCAGAATTGAGTTTTTAATCTGCTCTGCTGCCATTAGGATGTGTGCTTTTCTTTACAACAAAATCATATTTCTTTACTGAATCGTTTTCTTTTGTGGTTTGAAGACTGCTGAAAAGCAGATTAGGCAGCATTAACTTCCTTTGGCCCGTTGTGGTTATCTTCCTAGGTGACAAGGCAAATGCAGGAACATGAACAAGACTCTGAGCTCCGAGAGCAGATGTCTGGCTATAAACGTATGAGACGGCAGCACCAGAAGCAACTGATGGCATTAGAGAATAAACTGAAGGCAGAGATGGACGAGCATCGCCTCAGGTTGGACAAAGATCTTGAAACACAGCGTAACAATTTTGCTGCAGAAATGGAAAAGCTAATTAAAAAGCACCAAGCAGCCATGGAGAAAGAGGTAGGAGGTTACTGCTTATCAGACCAGCCTGTGTTTGTCAGTTACGTTGAATTGTCCACTTCCCCTCACCAGTGATGGCAGTGAGCAAAGTCTCTTACATGTCTTGTGTTCAGGAGCCAAGCAAATTGCTAATTAGAAAAAGGCTAATAATCACCTCCTTACACTAAGGGGTGATGTAACTAGAGGACAGGTATGTCCTTTACCGCAGTGTGTTAACACTGAATATTAGAATACTGACCCCAGAAAAAACACTGTGAGGGTTTTCCCCTCCCTTGCCATGGATGTGCTGTCAATAACTGACTCCATCGAGTGTTGTGGAGGCAGATTAGCCTGCGGAGAAATGTGCCAGCTACACTTAAATGTTCACTGTCTAGTTGTGTATGGATATGGGAGTTTTATGCTTTTAAATAATTGATAATGAAGTGGTGCTGCCTACAGCAGTTATTATTGATTCTTTTTTCATCTCGGGTCTCTCAGTGGAGGGCTGAGGATATAGTTTATCATAAGGTGTTGACTTCGTTAGACAAGACTAGCTGAACAATAGGGCTGAGGGAATGAGGCACTGGAAAGGGACTCTGCTGGGTGCTTTGATGGGATGGGGAATGAGGAGAGAGTGAGGGCAAGCTCCTGGGATTTTCACTTATCCAGAGTCATCGTGGGTATCGTGCTGACTGTACCATGAATTCTTGGTCTTGGTGCTGAAATGGAATGCAAGCTGTAATCCACTGGGACTCAGACTGATTTGCTGCTGGCTTTGTTGTAGGCTAAAGTGATGGCCAATGAAGAAAAGAAGTTTCAACAGCATATTCAGGCCCAACAGAAAAAAGAATTGAACAGTTTCCTGGAGTCCCAGAAGAGAGAATATAAACTTCGTAAAGAGCAACTGAAAGAGGTAACTCATCTGTAATGACAAATGTGAATATAGTGCAGCGTGTGATACAGAGTGAGAGTGGTGAACATTCAGAAATAAAGGTGACACTGTGCACCAGAGATCTTTCACAGGATTGCAGCAAGTTCTGCATTTCATGAGCAGAATCTTGTTCATACTATATTTGTTTCATATCTTTGACTTTAGAATAAGAGAGTTGATTTATTTATTGGCACTTACATGTTTATCATGAAAGTACTTACCTCTCCATTGTTTAATGTTGCTTTTTAGCCCAAAACATGCAAATTTGGCAATCTTAAGGAATAAAAGGATGTAGTCTATGAAAGGTCATGAGCATTTTTCTCATACCTTGTTGCTACAGATAGAGGTCATGCACTGCAGCAGTTCGTGGTTTCTTATGACTTAATGATATTTCTGTACAGGATCAAGAGAACAGAACACTAAACATGACCTGCATTTTTTTCGGGAAAATACCTGAAAAACACTATTTAATGTAGAAAGTTGTGTAATTATTTAATAATCACTGCATTGTAGTGAAAATCAAGATCTCTGTGAAATGAAGAGAAACTGTAGAATCAAACTTCCTGATTCTTTTTGTGGACTGAAACTGTAAGGACTATAAATAATTTTTTTGAAAGAACCATTTAGTGCTCAACCATCAACTTCTGTGATGCAACTTTGGAACTTGCTCCAAAGGGGAATATTCCCAAACATAGACATTTCCCAGGAGAAAAAAAAAGGCTAAAGAGCAGCAGAGCCAAGAAAGATCTAACAAAAACTATAGTAGCGTGGGCTCTTTATAATAACATAGAATCTTTTTCTAAGTGGGCAGTAGATCACAGAGCACCAAGAAACACTGAAGAAATACAGAGGAGTTCTGTCTCATACTTCAGTTGAAATGTATCACAACAAGTCTTAATTACTGCATGGGTATCTCTAGTATGCAATTCAAGCAAGCAGAGTCTTTTGCCAAAGATACTTTAAGCTATGTACTGAGTGCAGTACAAATGTGGAGTTTCACCTGTGAACTTCATTATATTGTTTTCATAAGTTATGGCATCTCAGTGAGTGTCTCTGCCTCAGTGAGTTACTGTAAAATGGATATGTGTTCTGATCAAGCAAGACAAATTTTCAGATCTGCTTCATGTGGCTGGAGTTATGTTTGAACAACAGGATGTCAACGCTTTCCTCCTCCTTTAAGTCCTTTGGGAGCCTGTAAAAATGTCTGTCTGGCAGTATGGCAGGACCTCCAAGTGTTTTCAGTGGCAAGCCATCATTTTGATGTTTTGAGCTAATATATATGCCTGGAGACTGTGGATACAAACCAGCATTTTGGCCAGTTAAAACGACCAGTGCAAAAAAAAAAGTTGTAGTTTAAATTTGCTTCTGTGTGAATTGTCTCCTGGAACACCCTTAGGCATTTTGTAGAGGCTGGGATGTTTCTCCAACCAGCCTTGGAGAAGAGAGGGTAGAACAGCTTTGAGACATTATTAGTCAGGTCTGTCCAGTTGCTCATGGCCAAGGAGGCTTGTGTGACTGTTTCACAATTGATTCTCTTGCTGTTATCAGGAGCTGAATGAAAACCAGAGCACTCCAAAGAAGGAGAAGCAGGAGTGGCTCTCCAAGCAGAAGGAGAACATCCAGCATTTCCAGGCAGAGGAAGAGGCCAACTTACTGAGGCGTCAGAGGCAATACTTGGAGCTGGAGTGTCGCCGCTTCAAGAGACGGATGCTCCTTGGCCGCCATAACCTGGAGCAGGACCTGGTTCGGGAGGTAAGAGAACAGGCTGAGATGAGACCTGGAATCATGTGTGTGAAGTGCATCTCACAGGAGCACCTGCAGTCCAGCTCCAATCAAACAGAAGTGTTAGTTACCACATCCAAAGTGTTTTGGTAAAACAACGGTTCGATGCTTTGAAATGCCATCTGGTAATCCCTGTGACATTTAGGGATCACGCGGCATCAAATGTTCAGATTAGTGCCCTATTGCAGGAGAATTGTTAGATCCAAAAAGTTATCAGACACAACAGCTACAGTCCTTTCCAGAAAATGCTTACTGTGAATCCTGTTGAGCATCTAGAACAGGAAGAAGAAAAGTGAAATGAGGAAGGAAAAATTACCGGTGGCGTTGCTGTCTGCTGCTGATAAGGCGAAGAAACTCTGTGCTCTGTCCTCAAATGCCTTGGAAAGAGAGAAATGCCCTTGTGAACAAAGCGAAATGTCACTTTGTGAACGGAAATCCAAGTAAGTACAAAGAATCTAATAATTCCCTCTGTCCTCCTGTTAGGAGCTAAACAAAAGGCAGACACAGAAGGACCTGGAGCACGCCATGCTGCTGCGTCAGCACGAGTCCATGCAGGAGCTGGAGTTCCGCCATCTCAGTACCATCCAGAAGATGCGCTGTGAGCTGATCCGGCTCCAGCACCAGACCGAGCTCACCAACCAGCTGGAATACAACAAGCGCCGGGAGCGGGAGCTGAGGCGTAAGCACGTCATGGAGGTCCGGCAGCAACCCAAGAGCCTGAAGGTACTGAGGGATGTGGGAACTCTGGGTGCGAGCTGGTGGTGGTGGAAGAGGGGTCTGTTACAGCTCAGTTCTTGTTTGCACTGTGGGCAGGGCCGAGGTACTTGGAGGCTCGTTAGTTTGAAAGGTGTCTGCAAGCACCACAGCAGGGGTGATCAGGGTTGCAGTGTATTGCAGGCAGGCCACAGCAGCACTGTTCCCTCCTTTTATTTGGAAAGCTCTTCTCAGCAGTGTCCCTCCCTTTTTGGGGTATTTAAAATGCATTTAATCTTTGCAGTACACTTCCCCTCCCCCTTTCTTTTTCCTACACCATTTTCTGATCCTCTTCTCCCCCATAGACAAGAATAAAATCTATTTTTCTGTAATGAAGCACTATAATTTAAAAACCAAAACCAAAAGCTTTTGTGTTGCTGTGTGCATCAAAATGAACTGCACTATCAGGCTTGGCTAACTCACCTGGTTACTGTTTTTATATTAAGGCTGACATAGTAGCAAGTGGGGGGAGGGAGAAGAGAGAGACACCGGCCAAGTGCAGTGTCCTCAGGAAGCTCCTGGCACTGACCTTTGCTGTGTTGTCTCTCCTGGGTTTCTCATGCTGCCCTTGTAGCTGTGGTGGCTGACCAGAACTATGAGGCCTCTGTAATTGAGACTTTTAGTGTTTTCATTGTAAGCCTTCACTTCATCCAAAGAAGTCCAGTGGTTTATTCTGAAGTGTCTGAGAAGGGAGTATAAGGCCTTTCACAAAGCTGCCTGGTACATTCCTTTGAGGAGGCAGACTTCTTCTCTCCACCCAGTGTTCAGCTGTGCCAGTAAAAAAACGAGTGTATGGCATACTGAGCATGGGGTTTCTTTTTTGTTCTAGGTCTTTCCTCTTCATATTTCCCATCTGATTTAGTTTTTCACCACCTGCAAATTACCTTTTTACAGAGAAAATAACCAACTTGAAAATAAAACTTCAGAAAAGAAAAAATTACACCTGATTTGTCAATATTAGAATAATATTAAATAGTGAAAACCTGGCTTGTAAGAACAAGGGACCATCTGATCGCTGTTGAGAATCTCCAAGGATATAGAGTATAAATAGCTGATGACTTCACAGGGAAGCTGTGCTGCACTCTGAGCTGAATAAAACTGAAGCAGCTGTATTAGGTTGATCCTTCTGAGATTAGCATGAATGAGTTCTGCCTCCCCAAGGTGATGCGGTGCAAACACGAGTGGGCAGCATGTCCGTTCTCCTTCCCTGGACAGCAGGATCCGTGGTCTCTCTGGGCTGCAGGGACTTGGCTGCCCTCTCACCTCTGCAGACTCTCCAACCCCTTCCCTTTTCCAGGGAGGACAGGGCTGGAGCGTTTTGCAGGGAGCATGGAAAGCTTGCACTTTGCTTTGCATGGCTGTTCTGTGATTAGTGAAGGATTTCAGGCTTGAGCTGTCAATCCTGCACCTTTGCGTACACACAGTGCTAATAATGCAGCCTGTGGACAACCGTTGGGTTTGTAGCACAATCCCCTCTTTATTGAGGCTGTTCTCTAGCATTAACTCCTTCTCCTGCTTCTGACTAATGCAGGCAAGTATTCTTAATTGAATAGATAATTTGACCATTTGTTCAGTTTCTCTCTCCAGCAACGTTTTCCCTCGAGGGCACGTTTCAGGCTTTCCCTTTGTTATTTAGTGAGGCCCTTTGTCCTGGAAGCAGTTTTTTAACGGTCAGTGTCTGTTCTGTGACAGCACCAGAAGGACCCATAGCTAGAATTCACCCTTCAGTGAAAACGACTGTTATTGTTTTGAGTGTGTTAATTGTGATGCAAATACCCTCTTGCTGGTATTTCACAATAATAGGTCAAAATGATCTTGTCAGAAGTCTGACTGGAAATCTTACCCCTCCCTTCTGTTTCCTGTTGTTAAAGCCTTTGGATTGGAAGCCTGTAAACAGAGTCTGGTGTCCAAGCAAGACTTCACAGAAAATGAGGACAAAATAGGTTGATAGTGTTTTGCTGTGACCAGGTCCCTGATGGGAATGTGTAACCTGCTGACACTTCCCTTAAGGGCAGGGAGAAATAACCTTAAAGGTTTCCTGGAGGGAAATAACTTCCTGTGAAATTTAGAAAGGTTAAAAGCAATGCATTCCTCTCTGTGATACATGTTTTGGTTTGAATGAAACCCGTGTCTGTCCTGTTTTCTGCATCAGGTTAGCAAAATGTTGTTCTTTTATGCAGCAAAGTGTGCTGGTATCTAAATTGGGCTGGACACCTTTTGAGGTGGCTTCAAGTGCTGTACTTTCCACCTGCCCTGCTGAGTCTTGCGTTAATGCCAGGAGGAGCAGTGGAGGAGCTAATGTGAGGCATGCACAGGTTCATATCCCAGAGCTCCTCCAGCTTACTTGAAGGACAGGAATCTGGTTGTGTATTCTGTTCCTGTCTCCAGTGCTTCAGGATTTGGCAATGGTGGCCAAGGGGAAGGCCCATAGTGTATACTGACTGCCTGGTGTCTGATTTTAGTAATTGGGGTTTATTTATTTCTTTATTTATTCTTACCATGGTGAACTTGACCATCTGTCAGTTAACCACCATTGCTCATCACTTCTGGGTTTTGCTTAGTTAGAAGTATCCTTGCCAACCCTCCTGCAGAAACATACAGAGAACCCCAGAACACCCTCCTTTCTAGGGTCTTAACATCTTAGTAGATGTTAACCCTCACGAGCTGCTCTGGAGGCAGGTAAAAGGAAAAAAGTAATTAATTTCCTCAAGGTCCTACAGCAAAATCAGATCCTGATACCTTTTCCAGGACTGGTGTTTGTCAACCCTGTGTGCAATCACAGTTAAGTCTCTAAACAATACAGAGGTGGTAGCAAGTGCAAAGGGAGGAAAACTCCATCTCCAGTAAGCCTCCAGTGGGACTGGGGAATTGTTTTGTTTTCTAGACTCACACAATACTAATGTTCTTGTGGTGTACATTTTTAAGCATCTAATATTTCCCAGCCGTTTTTGAGTTTCTTTATGAAAACCAGGCTCTTAATATCAAGGGTTAGAATACATCTTAATTTCATCAAATCCTCAGTGGAAAAAGTGTCATTCTTTTTCCCTGTCCCTTCCCATGCACCGGATCTGCTGCTTTTCATAACATTAAGTGCTGTTCATATATATGTACCATACAAGCACAGTCATGTGTAAGTATGGCTTTTGGTGCTAATAAATATTAGTCCTGTCCCTCAAGAACTTTTCTTGAAAAGCAACACCCAGGACTGGATCCAGTCCAGTGACAAATGTGAGGCTCTTTGTGCAGAGACAGCTGTATTTAGGCTGGAGCTTTGTTATAAAAGTGTCTGTATTGTAATTGTTTCACACAGTAGCAATGTCAAAGCAGCTGCAGCAATAGTCATTGCCTCTTGTGTATTTTGCTTCCCTCCTTGCACTGTAGATGTTAATATACATTTGTGGATTCTTGAACTCATATCCTTAATGTAATCCTAAATATCCATTTGAATGGATATTTCGCTCATTTGAAACATGCTGGTTTTTTCTTTGTGTCCCCTCCATCTTTCCAGTCAAAAGAACTACAGATAAAGAAGCAGTTTCAGGATACATGCAAGATCCAAACCAGACAGTACAAAGCACTGAGAAACCATCTGCTGGAGACCACGCCAAAGAGTGAACATAAAGCTGTCCTCAAACGGCTCAAGGAGGAGCAGACCCGGAAGCTGGCTATCCTGGCTGAGCAGTATGATCACAGCATTAATGAAATGCTCTCTACACAAGCTGTGAGTCGCCTCCGAGGGACCCAGGGTTCCTCAGCCGAAGAGGGATGTTTGCATTTTAACGGCTCTGTATCCTGACAGCAGGCTTTCTGCTTCCTTGCTGCACATGCCATACCCTGCACAGTCCTTCCTCTGTGTTTAAAAAGCAGCATTCAAATGCAGAGGAAAGACACACTACCCTCCCCAGGCAGGCTGAAGCTGAAGCTGCTGTTGCAGAGATGCAAAGTGATGCATCTGTGTGGCCAGAGGACTGCTTTTGCATGAAATGTGGCAACATAAACATCCCTGTTAGAGCATCATTAAATAGTGTGCATCTGGCTGTCATAAGTCATTTAGCTTTTGATTTGTTGATATTACCAACCAAAACATGTCCCACTGGTGGAAGATGCTCATTGTGAGTCATGGAGGAGTCCAGAGTTTTGGCTGTAAATCTGAGGGCAAAATGTTGTGAAAGTTCTGTGATTCCTTCTTTAAGGAATGACCACATGAGCAATGCTTCAAGTCCTTGCTACAACTGAATGTGCACTTTTCTTTGCACTTCCTGCATATTGCATCCTGCTCACACTGCTTTCTACATCAATTTGATGCTGTGAGGCAGGGTAGCTGGCTTCATTTATGATGGGAAGGTTAAAAGTTCAGTGTCCTATTGCTTTTAGGTTTATTTCATTATATTCTTTTGCCCAAGTCCTGCATTGGCGGGACTGTGGTCTTAAGTCTCCTGTGTACAGGTAATTGGTTAATCCGGTTGAACAGAGCAAGAGAGCTTCTCTTTGCCTCTAGCAAAAGGAGAGCTGAGGATGTTTGCACCTCCAGCAGTCTGGTCTCTGCAGTGTGGATCGCGGTTCCTGAGGCGCCACTGCTCATCAGCATCACTTGCATCAGTGCTGTGGGCTCACTGTCACCAGTCTTTGTCACTATAGGTCCTCTGTTCAGCGAAGCGAAGTACAATAGAGACCAATTGTATTGCTGAGAAAACAATGTCCCATCCCATTCTCCCCCTCCCCGCGGTCCTTCCCTGGAGTGTCAGCAGTGGTTACCCCATGGTGAAACGTCTCTATTGTCTGTCCTTCCCAGCTGCGTTTGGATGAGGCGCAGGAAGCAGAGTGCCAGGTTTTGAAGATGCAGCTGCAGCAAGAACTGGAGCTGCTGAACGCATATCAGAGTAAAATCAAGATGCAGGCAGAAGCCCAGCATGATCGGGAGCTGCGTGATCTTGAACAGAGGGTATCCCTCCGTCGGGCCCTCCTTGAGCAGAAGGTAAAATGGGCATGTGAGCATCCTTAGCATGCTCCATATTTCAGATCTTAAATTGCACTTATCAGTGAGAGAGAAACTGCTTTTGCCTTGCTGTATATAGTAACACAGATCATTTGGGTATTTGTCTCTCTGGGGTGAAAGCTCAGTGACACACAGACTAAACTTTTTGCCAACTCAGCCCTCCTTTGTGAGCAGCTTCTGGCTGGGATAGAACTGCCTGAAGTGTGCCAGAGGGAGCTGTGCCTCTCTGGGCAGAAGGGAAAGTGAACTGTTCTCTCTGAGCTGCAGATTAGCTTCCCTGGCTCAACAGAGAGCAGACAGTAACAACCTAAAGCTGGGGTGGGGGCTTTGGGAATTAGCATATCAGTAGTAGGTCTTTGAGGAGAGGGAAAAAAAGCTAAAATGTATTTGAGACTGTGTGTTTTGTGGTAATAATATTTTACTGCAGATCTACTCCATTTGTCAGTCTGTGGAGACCAGGCTGCAGCTTCCCTATGAAATTTTGTGTCTCTGGAGCAAACTGAAGCAGCCAGAACCACAAGCATGGGGGACAGTTGCTCCTTGTTGAAGTTTGTTTTTCTATGCAGTGTCAGACATGTGGTGTGTATGGAAGTGTAAGTGGCCTAGACAAACCAAGGGAAGGGAAATGCATCAGTCAGTGAAAGGAAATACACAATCACCCTTCCTCCTGCAGTTCCTTTCCCCTTGGATTTGCCCTGTGGGTGCCAGCCATCACCATTCACACTACAGTTCCCAAGTTTGTTGACCAGCGATTATTAAATTAGGGCAATTACTCTGTGGCCTCGAGGTTCTTTACACTTCAGTTCTCCCAGAGGCTAATGGATGGGTACTAGGGTAGTCCACATAACACTGCTCCACCTCATGGCCAGCCGAGGGAGCATCCCCAAGGATACAGCACAGTCCTGTTCAGCTTTGGTCTCCTGCAAGTGGACACGACTCTGAAAACAGCTGAATTTGTGAAAGAAGAGTTCCCGTGTGACACTGACGTGTGCAATAGCTGTCTTTAGACACCATCACTAGTTATTTTGGTCCCAGCTCCCGTCACAGCCTGGCATTTGAGCAGGGATTTATGCTGGAGGTGCATTGCCCTCTGGTGGCATGAGCTGCTCTGGGAAAGAAGTGTGCCACAGTGAGCCAGTGCTTGTTCTGTGGGAGCAGCATGTGTTGCAGATAGTGTTATGTTAAAAGTTGCAGTGAGGCCAGTGACTTAAGGAAACTCACATCAGCCAGTAATAAAGTTGTAAGATGTCTTTCATTGTGGACCAGGATTGAAATCTCTGTGCATGGAAAGCCCCTGTGGAGCATTTGGCATCAGTAATGGTGGTAGGAAGCTTGGCAATGCTATTGCATAGAGAGGAAAAAAAGGATAAAAATAAGACCTAGCATGATCTTTTGTGTGTTTGTATTCCCGTATTGCCTTAGAGTAGCAAAAAATTTGATGGGGCTTCAACTTCCATAGGTTCATTTAGCAGTACATGCAAATCACAAAGTCATGAACTAACAGTGAGACTTTGGTGGGGTTACAGTCACTTGGCAGCAACTCAGGGGAAAATATGTGGGTGCAAAGGCAGACACATCCTTCTTTTACAGGGATGTTTTTTGGGAGGAGAGGTGGTGTTCTGTTTTTGTAAGAATTAAGAGTTGAGAGTATTCTGGTGTGGGTCCCTCAGCGATGTCACCTGGTATTTGCTGGCATGTGCTAACTGAAGCTGGCAGCCAGAGAAAGGGCAGGTATGTGCACAAGATGAGTGTCTGCATTTATATGCGCAAATAAATGTGTAGCCTGTGGCAAAGTCAGTCCCTGGTGTTCAATAATAAACCAGATTCCAGAAGTTAGTGTGTGTATAGGACTCTGCTTCTTTCTCAGCAGACTACTCTTAATTTTTAGTGGTACCCATCTCCATAACTCACCAGAGCATAAGTGTCCAGACCTGGAATAAAGAGGGAGTAGCCAAGCCCCATCCATGTGCAGCCTCCGAGTGCCAGAGGCTGAGGCACTGTACAAGCCATACCCTGATGCATTGTTGTTTGTGTTGCACCAGTAATGAGCATGTCCCAAGAGTGTCTTTAAAAGACTTCAGATTTACTCATTTCCTTCCCACATGCCTCAGACACTTCATCTTCAGAGTCCTGCATCCCGAGACCATTTGAGGGATGTCATTTTAACACAGTGTCAGGCCTTTCAGTGAAGTTCAGTTGCACCAAGTCCTGTGTGTTACCCTGTCACAGAGCCTGAAAACAGTGACATGCTGAAGACATTGAAAAAGGAGAATTCTGCTTAGATAGCAGGAGTGGGAAAAAAACAAGTGGAGCATTTTAAAGAACTAATGTTAGAGAAGGCACCTTCTTCCTCTTCTGCCTTCATGGCTTTCAGTGGGAATAGTGAGCAAGGCTGCTCCGTGCAGAGTCTGTCATTCACCTAGAGCTAAGAAACAGGCAAGTGGAGAAGGAGTTTCTGAAAGCCCCAAATGGCTCAGGAGATGACTCATGCTGGAGCAGATTGTTTCCGAAATTCCAGATGAAATCACTTTGCATATTCCCTGACTCAGGCAAGAGAGCGCTTACAAGTACAAGGCTCTGCCCAGTACCTTCAGCACAGACCAAGATAACACCTCTTGGCCACATTGCTGCTGACAGCAGGGAGATGCCAGTGAGCTGTGCTGAAAGTCTTGGCTGCTGCTTTTTACCCATTTGGTCTTTTTCAACAAGGCCAAAAGTAGCTTTTTCAGTGCTGGCAAGAAGATAATGGTTCTTTGGTTTTCCACCTGACTGCAAAACTTCTAATAAGAAAGGCTTTCATCCCTGTCTGGTGGGTGTCAAGAGGCCGTAGCCCCGTGTTTTTGGTACTTAGAGTGCTGATGCCAGTGCCTCTACCAAAGTACTCTTGGAAACCAATTTGGAACAGTGTTATGGGGAAGAAATTGGAGTTGCCAGCTTGCATATCATCTAGCTAATAACCTGCCACACAACTCAAACAGCACTGCCTACGTCCTTCAGCCACACACCCTGGAGAAAGTACCAGGGTAGTGAAATATGAGAAACCAAATTAGGAAAGGGGTGGATAGGAGGTGATAAATACATGAGCTAAGAAAATCTGGCCAGTGAACATGAGAGAGGAAGCTGAACGTGGGCTTGTGCATTGAATCCTGGAGAAAACAGTAGTCATCATCATCAGATTCAGCTACAAATGGTGAAGGTCACATTAGGGCATTGGCAAGTGTTTGGCTGCACCTGAAGGTGCTTTCCCAGTAGGCTCTTATGGAAGCTGTAGACTTTGCTGTATCTTAAAAGATTAATCTATGTCAAGCTGTTGGTATGAGTGCAAACTTTGTATTCACCTCCCTAAAACTTGTATATTCACCAGGGAATGGAGACCAACACCCTCCAACTGGTGTTCAACATGCTTTGGGCTGTGCAGGTCTGTGGGACTGAACCCTTTTGTGTTCAGAACGGGTCGCATGCCCATGGACATCTGATCTAGAGCCAGTCTCAATGACAAACACAGGGAGAAGATCTCTCAGTAGCTGTTACAGGTCCTCCAGAGGCTGTGCCTGTCCTGCTGCTACAGACTGTCTCTTTTTTTCCTTCCTAGATTGAGGAGGAGATGCTGGCATTGCAGAACGAGCGTACTGAGCGGATACGAAGCCTGCTGGAGCGTCAAGCTCGCGAGATCGAAGCCTTTGACTCAGAAAGCATGAGGCTAGGTTTTAGTAATATGGTTCTTTCTAATCTCTCCCCCGAGGCGTTCAGCCACAGCTACCCGGGAGCTTCTGGCTGGTCCCACAATCCTACTGGGGGTGCAGGACCTCACTGGGGTCATCCCATGGGTGGCCCACCACAAGCTTGGGGCCATCCAATGCAAGGTGGACCCCAGCCATGGGGTCACCCCTCGGGGCCCATGCAGGGGGTACCTCGAAGTAGTGCTATAGGGGTCCGCAACAGCCCCCAGGCTCTGAGGCGGACAGCTTCTGGGGGACGGACGGAGCAGGGCATGAGCAGGAGCACAAGTGTTACTTCACAAATATCCAATGGTTCACACATGTCTTATACATAACTTAAACAATAACTGAGGGTGGCAATTCCACTGGAGCTGTCTGCCAACAGAAACTGCCTACAGACACCAGCCCAGCAGCCTCCTCAGTGCGGTGCTGACGTGTGGAAGCTGGGTGCACATGGAATATTGTATTCATTTTGTAAAGCATTACGTTTTGTGTTTACTAACTGGGATGTCATAGTATTTGGCTGCAGGGTTTGGGGGGGTGGTTTTTGGTTTTTTTGTTTCGTTGTTGTTTTTTTTTACTTTTTGGAGGGGTCTTGGGAGGGCATCTGAGAAATATATGCAATTAGTCAGAAGAGTTGGCTGGTGGTCGTCACACTGACAGGACAGAAGGGCCTCAGACTGCCCTCATCATGCCATCCATGTAGGAAGTCTGAGGGAGAATGGAGACCTCCTCCCATGTCCATAAATTTCGAACTACCACCCTGCAAAAACCAGGCGAGCTGCCTTTAAACCAACATCCAGGGGAGGAACAGCTGGATCTTCTGTTCCATTTTTATTTGTCATGAATTGGATAAATTTCTAGGGTATTGCCTCTGCCAAGAGGCATTTTTAAAGAATTGTAGATGAGGAAGAAGGGTGAGAAGAGAGGCCAAGAGACATCAGGGCTCATCAGGGCCCTTCTACCCAAGTGCCCGCTCGGTGTCATGAAAGAAGTGATGTTCTCTCAGAAGGCACTGGTCAGCTTCCCGAGAACTCTGTAGGTAAACCTGTCTGGAGGGAACAGGCTAGGAATGTTTGAAACTGTAAATCTGCTTTGGCACTCCCTGACTGTGCTGCTGGTAGCTCAGATGAGGTTGGGCAGAGGAGCGTAAGTAATGCACTTGTACAGCTAATACTGTGACATCTCATTTTAGCTAAGCATCAGAATAATTCTTGGAGCCCAGCATAGTCCTTTTTGCTCCATTCAGAAATGTTTAGACTTTCAGCCAATCAGTCTCAAATGCCAGAGGTATTTTGAAGGATGCCATAGTCACAAAATGCCATTGATCGGGTTTTTCATTATCACACTACATCCACCAATTTATTACCTTTTTGGCTTGTTGCAATTTCCTGTTTACATGTGGTGTGTAGCCAACTGTTGAAATGTTTAGTTGCCACGGCGTACCAGGAGGAGCTGAGCCAATGACTCTTTCCCAGCTGATGACTAACCCACATCACCACTGTAGATCTTGCTGCATGTGAGGCTCCTTTTTATTATTTTCATTGCTGCAATACTTCACAACTTTTACAGTCCCTTGAGATGCTGTGATATTTTGGCAGCGTATCACACCATGTGAGAAGGCACTACTTCCAGAGGGCTTGTTGGAGCTGCTGTACTACTGAAAGGAAGCAAAGGAGGTTATGAAATCCATACAGTGATAAGGGGTCAGGGAGTCTCATAACTGAATGACTTTGTGACATCGTGTCATCCCTTCGTGCTGGGAACCAGAGATGCCCCCATGCTCTCGTGCCAGTGCCAGGGCGGTCTGGGTCAGATAGGACTGTGGGAAGAGCAGGTAGATGAAATTTGGCTTGGGGCAAAGATTTCCGTCTTGGGGACTGACCAACCAGGGTTCTTTGTAAATGTTTTTCCTTGCACACTAATCATCTTGAAGAAAACACTAGCTGCTAACTCTAGGATTTGCCTTTAATATGTTTATAGGGCTCAAAAGCGAGGTTTTCCGAATGTGTTTGTCCATGTGACATATTTATATAGTAAATACTCCGGTGTCTCGCTGCTGTTCAGTACTCGACAGGGCGACGTTCTTTCGTTAGCTGAGTTACCATCCGCTCCCAACCCTTAACTCTCTGCCAGTGTCCGGTGAATCCAGCTGGGATTTCTAGCATCTTGACGTAGCATATCACTCTAACTGAAGATGGAAACTCTACCAAGATGTTTGAGCAGCCCCTTGGTAAGGAACTCTGTAGTACTAACAGTTGATGGAAGCCTGGGATGAGGCAGGAGTTCCATGGAGGTACCCTCTGGTCACCCCCTAGGGCAAGTGGTGGCTGTGAATTGTCCTGTCCTTTCCTCTGCTATGTTTTTATGTGGAATTGGATTTTTTGGGGTCATTCTTTTGCATTGCAGTGTTGTTGAAATGCAGCAAAACTGATTTAGGAAAGGTACCTGTGTTTTCCTGGTGTTAGAAAGACAGACAGAACCGAAATGAAAGGCCAAAACTGTTTTGGGGTTCACTGTGTGAGTGTGGAGGGTGTGCCCAGAGCATGGTGCTAACACAGCATTTTGAGTTCAGCTCCTCTATCCCAAACAGCAGCAGCAACAGCGGGGACAGGCTATACCTGCAAGTTCAGTGGGTTCATTCTTGCTTCTGTTATGGTTTGAATTTGGTCAAAGTCTCTGGCTTAAATTGAGCTACTTAACAGAATTCTCTCAACCCATCTCTTTGTGTAATGTCAAGCATGACTGAATGCTGAATCCAAATGATGGCTATCCCATATTGGCTTTTTTGTATTCAAAAAGAAATGTGTAGTAACCATTTTTACATGTATATCATGTGCAGACCTGGACTATTCCAACAAGTTAAGATTTTAATTAAAATAGTTTGCAAAAACTGATTCAGATCAACTGGTCTAAATGTGTGTGTCCCTGTGTGTACGTGGGGGAAGAAAAGCTGTCCAAAAAAAAAGCCTGATCTCAAGAGAAAACACCCCATTATGTAGCTGTAGCCAGAGGGACTCAGAGTCAGGCTGTGCCTTGAAGGTATTTGAGGAGGCCCTTGGTGTTAAGAATTTTAGTGTATCTCGGGCTTATTTCTGAGATACATGAACAACTGTGCACTAGAGAAATGCAAACACTCTGAATCAGTTTGCAAACTCTATTTTTAAAAGTAAGACCAATTACTCCATATTATACTTGTTGCAGTCATGCCCTAACTTTGGTTTTAAAATTACTGTAATCTGTAAATTGTGGAAGCTACTCCAGTACCTCAGCAAAGATGTTCTCTTGCATCTTTTATGTTTGTATTTAACACTGGGGAAACTCTTCTGTGTGGACTACTTTGCAAACTTTATTGCAGTATTTTCAAATCACCAGCTTGACCCCTGAAATCTCTTTCCTGCGGTTATTTTTCTCTCCCCTTTGCAAAGATCTAAGGTTCTGGTGTAGTTTAGCCCAGAGATGGAAAAAACAGAGCAGCCAGCATTTTTACCTCTTTTCTGATTTGAATTTTCTTTGATTTTATTTAAAATCAGTGAAAGGGACCACATTTTTCCTTGTTCTCCATGGTCCCAGGGAGCCAGCAGCCACCTCTCCCTTCCATGTTGAACGTTACGTGCTTTCTTCCTCGGATGCAGCACTGAAATGGAGGCCACAGCCCTGTTTCACCTGCATTCCCTCCAAGCCTGTGAGCTTCAAAGAGGTTGAAGAACTAAATGTGGTGTGATACCAAACTTTCCACAGAAAAATTCCCTGCAGCCATTCCTTGCCTGGCTTGGGGCCAGGCTGGCATCGCTCTGTGTCCCACCCAGCCCTCCCACGCCGGAAGAACGTGCGCTGCACACTCGCTGTGACCTGCACGGGGGTGCAGCCTGGGCGATCCCGGGGTGATGCTGTGTTGTTTTAACCCCCCCAGGGCCCCTCGCGTCCAGGCTCCCCACCCCTCGACCCTGCTTACGTGCCATTTCTTGAGAGGCAATAAATCCTATCATACCACTGTCTACCATTACTCTGTTGAATACGCACATCTCTCTGGATATATATATGGTATCTCATTTGTATATATTTATATACTCTGTACGTACGTGTGTGTGGGTATAGGTGCACACACACCTCATGCTGTGCATTTCTGTCAGGGCACTTCAGTTCTGCTGTTCCTTAGCGCTCCTGTTCGTGAGCAAAAGCAACCCCTCAGCAGGGCTCTCAGGGCGAGGGCACCGACGTGTGCAGAGGCCGTGCTGGGGCTGAGCACAGCCGAACACCCTCGCTGAGATACAGCCCTGCTAATTGCAGCTTGCTTTTTTCTGGGGCGCGGGAGGGTAGGTGGCTGCTGCGGGTGTGCTGTGAAGGAGAGGAGGGAGCTCCCAGAGGGTACCAGAAAGTCAGAAGGCAGCAGAGGAAAAAAACAAGAGGGTTTAGCGATAGGCAAGCAGTGGAGGCACTGTAAGGATCTGCTGGGGAGGCGGCGAGTGGGCCGGTGAAGTGCTCAGCAGGCTGAGCTCAGAGTCCCCAGCTGCGTCTCGCCATGAAAGATTACTAACCCGGCACGGTCTTGGCACACTGCACCGGCACTGGCTTTTGGCATTCCTGAGTTCGAGCCGCCGCCAGCTCTGAACACCGTCTACCTTTGCCTGTGTCTGATACTTAGAGGTTGTTTGGTTATGTGGAGGGGCAAAAGAGAAGCTAAATTGGAAGATTTAAAATACATCCGTGTGTACAATATGTGCGTGCATATATAGACACACAGATGCTCTTGGTCCATTCTTTATTCTGCTTAGGCCTGCGTGCTTTGTCACTTGAGTCCAGCCAGCAGTGGATGACCTTGTTCCTCTCCTGGGTGCTTGCTCTGCAGTTCTGGTAAATCTTGGCTCTGGTCTTTCTTATAGTAGAGGGGTGAGTGCCATGCTGGACACCACCAGCTCCTCAAGCTGTGAAGACCCTTCTGACCCTCTCCTTTGTCCTCTGCAGACCCCATCTTAGGGAGGCATCTGGCAGTTTGCAGGATAGGTGGTTCTTGCAGGTGTCAGGTCACGTATTTACCCCCAGGGATGCCCTGCCAGCTCAGCAACATGCCAACCCCGGGCTCTCTTTGTGCTACCAGAAAATTTGGAGCAATTTACCCTTCTGTCCCTTCTGGAAGGTCTCTTGCGAGTTTTTTAGGAGAGGCTCAGGTTTGGTTGGGCCAACCTTACGCTTTTCCAAGAAGCAGTGTTGTCTTTAGCTGTGCTCCTGCCTGTGGGATGTTCCCACCCCTGTGCTGGCCGGCAGCGAGCCCAGAGCCACGTGCCAAGGCTGGAGGAGCGCTGGATGCCCCGACAGGGATGCCGGTTGCTGTCCCTCTGCTGTGTTTGTTTCAGTTTGCACTTTTACGATTCGATTGAGCTGGAGTCCGGAGTCTGTTGAGAAATACGTGCAAGGCGCCTTGGAGGGTTGTGGATCACTGTTTACAGCCAGAAAATAAAAAAATCTGATAGATCTAGTGGTTCTAGTAAACATCACCCCACCGGGGAGTGATGGTGGCAGATAACCTGGGTTCCTGTTGCACAACACAGTTCAGCCAGCTGAGCTGTGATGATGCTGTCTGCTGCATCCCTGCCCCCTTCTTCGGGGGAAGGAGAGCCTTTTGCCAGCTAGAGAGGGACTTAGTAAATCGGATTTGCCGGCAAACAAGCACCTTAACCACCAAGCTGTGGGTCTTGATACTTGCACTTCACCTAAAGGCTCCCCGGGGGGAGGAAGGCAGTTTGGTACGTGACCATTGGCTCTGCACCTGCCTGGCATCCTCAAAACATCCTAAAGCCATGTCCTAGGGAAAACAGACCCCAACGTCAGCTCCTGCTCTCCTTGCTTTCTCTGAGTACACACACTGAGTCCAGGAACCAGTAACCAGGAGGGCTGAGCGTTGCCCCCACGGATGTGAACAAACCCAGGGGGATCTTCCCCCCACCTCGCCCCTCCGGCCCCTGCCCCGCTCCCCACCCTTGAGTACGGGTACCTCAGAACATGCACAGTTTGAATTTTCACTGACAATTAGTTTAATTATTGTCAGTGAAAAGAATTGTAATTATCTGTAAATATGTAGTTAACAAATTGACCTAGTTTCTGTATTTTTTAAGTTTTTGTACTAAAATTTATAGATACAGTATGTGCCAGCTAGCAGAAAGCTACTGTAATTGCCAGTCGTAGTTCAGCATGCACCTAATCCCCGAGACTTGTCCAGTGATGCTGTAAGGAATTTGTGCTTAAATATTTCAAGCTGGGGAGGCCAACAGCCAGGGCTTTCGGCTTCCAGCCTTCGGCCGGGTTTTCCGTGTTGGCTGTGTGGAATCTCCTTCCCTTGGGCGTCGTGTGCCGTACGGAGGGCAGTGCGAGGGACAGAGCGGTGGCTTGGAGCTTGCTCTGGAGCTGAACTCAACAGGAACCGAGTTCAGGTTCTTTGCTGCAGTTTAATACCGGCTTGTTGACTATATTTTTCAATCTCTCTAGAAATGATCTGTTTTCCCCTTCCGACTGCTTTTGTCTTTAACCCGAGTTCATCTAAGTCTACTGGAGGAAAAAAACAAAACAAAAAAAGACTTTAATTTGAGATCGTTGCCTGCTTTTAGTGCCAGTATCACACATTTCTATGGCAACTCTGAGCTCAGCAGAGTGCAGAAATCAGTGCAGGGTTGTTGATGAGCTGAAGTCAGTGGCCGCTGCCTCTGCACAGCTCTGTCAGAGCCCAACTGTGGCCGGTGGCAGCCACCAAGGGCAAGTTTGGGGGTGCAGCGCGGTGGCTTGTGGGGGTCCCGATGTCCCTGCCCTGCTGCAGTTGGCTTGCACTGCAAGAGCTGCTGCTGAGTGAGGGGTGGGCTCCTAGGAATGGTCAGGACCTGTGCTCTGTGTCAGGTAGCAGAGGCAAGCCTGTGAGTTGAGAATAGCTATGCTGAACATCCCAGGAAGCTGCGAGCAGAGGAGTTTGAGCGCCGGTGAGGCCGTGCTCTCTGGGTCTGGTTGTCCTGGAGGTTGTAGGGGACAGGAGCTTGTAAGGATTCAAGGATCAGAGAAGGAGAGGCAGACGTGCACGTACGGGTTTGGCTTCTGGCAAGCAAACCACCCGCTTCCTTTCTTCAGCTTTTCTTCCCTCCTAACCCCCCACAGCTCTTCCCCCTGCTTGCTTGGAACAGGATCATTTTTTTTTACCTGCCTAGAAACAGCTAAAAGATGGGGGGGCAGCCCTGATTGTAAATAATTAACATTACAAAGTGAAGTGTGTATAACATAAAAAGTCTACAGCCCTTTGGTGACTTGTAAATGCTTGAGAAGGTTGTGGTAAAGATGTGGAGGGGCCAAGGACCTGCCCGGCCCCGCAGCCATTGCTGCCCCACCGCCACCGCGGGGCCGGCAGGATGGGATGGGGGGACCACCCTGTGCCCCTCGGCCATGAGACCCCCCCTCGGTGTAGTGGATGGGAGGGTAGCGTAACGTGTGTAATACGGATAGGAGAAGCTGTGTGAGGTGTGTATAGTGTATATTTTTTAAAAATAGCTTGCTTGTATTGTGAAGATTTTAAAGACAAACTTGAGAATTCTAGCCTAACTATTAACACAAGTTTAACATCAGTTACCCCACTGGGTTCAGAGCCTCTTGAATGTATATTCCTTTTTGTAACCTAAATGACCTATTCTTCTACCAGTCAGCCAGACATCCTATTTATATTTTTAATTTTATATATTACTTTCCATTTGTTTTCATTATTTCCAGCATGTTTCTGGGTTTGGGTTTTTTGTTTGTTTGGGGGGGAGTTGTTTCTTTTTGCACAAGCATTGTGTGAAGTCAATGAAATGTTAACTCTAACCTGGTATTTTCCGACCTGTTCCCCCCTCCCTTTCCTCTCCTCCACCCCTGTTGTGTTTTTTTTTTTTTTTTTTCCTTTCTTCCGCCAACAGTTTGGGATTTTTCTGGGCTAGGATGCAGCGGGTGGGAGGAGGGGATGGCTCTTTTCCATTTGCAGCTTTTGTGCAAATGCCAGGTCTTTTTGCCAGTCAACTAAAAAAAAAAAAAAAGCTTCACTTGCTGATTGCTTTAAAAAGAAAAAAAAATAAAATAAAAAACACAAAAATGTAACCTTATCAGTGCGTTGTAGACCCCGGCAGGAGGAGGGGAAGTGCACACCTGTAGCCACACACCTCTGGCTTTGGCTGCAAAACAAAAGCAAACCTTTCCTGGCGAGGAGGTGACCACAGGGCAGCTCCTGCCCGACCCCGCGGAGGGTTTGCCGGGCACGAGCTCCGTGTGCGGCCGGGCTCGGAGCCGTGCCGGGGAGCGCCGTGCCTTGGGCTTGCTCTTCCCCCCTCGGCGCCTGCCTGTCCATGTGCACAAACCCAAGAGCTGCCTGCTGATGACAGCAAAGCTGTTGCTGCTTTTCCTCTCCTCCTCCTCCTCCTCTCCCTCTCCCCTCCCTAAGGAGGTCCAGCTCCCCGACAAGAGCTCGCCCAGCGCCCGGCCCCAGCGCCGTGGCCGTCTGCTCTGGGGCATCATCCAGGTATGGCCAAGGCCATGCCGGGGGAAGGCGCCCGGCCCCGCCGTGCTGTGCCACAGAGCATTAGTTAGAAAAAACACACACATATCTGCTGTTTTACTATGAACACTGGTCTGAGGTTTCCATGCCCAGCACCACGGTGATGGGCCACGAAGGATTTAACCAAGGGAATTAAAACTCCTTCCTGCTTCCGTGTCTGGTAGCACCAGCTGGTATGAGTGAATCTACAGGTGTGCGTTTTCCTTCTTGTAGAAAATGCCACGAGCACTAACTGGTAAGGCTTAATGTACAGTATATTGTCAGTATTCTGGTATTCTTCTGGTTCAACATACATTATAGCTCATATATAACCTGTATTAATTGTATAGATTGTGCATTTAAAGCTGTTACCAAGTTGTCAGAAAATAAGAGAAGAGAAAAAAAAAATAAGGTCATATGTAATATTTTGTTTGTAAGTATCCTTTGTATCATAGCAAAGGAAATGTTAAAAAAAAAAATCAACTGTAATAAAGTAATTTTAGTACACGGAGTGTCTGCCTGCCTTTCTGAGCCCCCCGGGGAAGGGGGGCTACCGCGTGTAGGACCTCTGCCAGGTGAACACGGGGGGCTCGGCGGCGGGGCCCCCCCACCTGCGGGGCCGCGGCTGCCCCTTCCTGCGCTCCTCCGTCCGGAGGAACTCGGCCATGGCCCTGAAATACTCCAGCACGGCCTCGTGGCCCCAGCAGCGCCCCGGTGCCCGGCGGGGGAAGCCGCAGTGCCCCCCGCGCGGGGTCAGCAGCAGGAAGAAGTAGGGGCTGCTGCGGAAGAGCTCCATGGGCAGGCTGCGGGCCGGGGGGCCGCGCACGGGGTCGTCGGCGCTGCACAGGCACAGCACCGGCACGGCCGCCTCGTCCGCGTCGCGCAGGGGCTCGTTGCGTTCCCAGTAGACCTCCCAGCTCGTGGGGCGGCTCCGGGTCCGGCAGAAGAGGGATTCCTCCAGCTCCCGCAGCGAGCGGCTGCCCAGCAGCCTGTCCATGTCCACCGCTTCGGCCAGGGACCCCGCGTACCTGCGGGGACGGGGCGGCCGCAGTGGGCTGGGGGCTGAGGGGATGTTGCCGTGGGCTGGGGGGACACGGGGATGCCGCAGGGGCTGGCTGACATTGCTGAGGGCCCCAGGGATGCACCCGGGGGCTGAGAGCTGCGGGGGTGCTGCCATGGGCTGTGCGCCAGCCGCGGCCCTGCACGTAGGAACTGGGGGTGATCTCAAGCACGCCCCACCACCCCCTACCCCAGAGGTGGTTTGGGGGTCCCATTCCGGCACCTTGCCGAGGATGCTGGAGGGACCCCACAGCGCAGCCCGGGTGCCATGGCAACGGGAGACAGCCAGCACTCTGCTCCGTTGCCGTGACAGCAGCATTTGCAATGGGTATTGGGAAATGGGGAGGGGGGGCAGACACCCTACTGCCCACCCCCCAATACTCCATCCCCGCAGTAAGCACTGTGCCTTCTTCACCCATCTGAGCCTTGCCACAGCTTGACTTGCCACCTGTTTGCCCCAACATTTCAGGGTTTACCTGCATTTTTTTTGGCTCCCATTTGCCCACCAGCAGGGCCCCGTTGCCCCCACAAAGGTCTCAGCACCACCCAGGGAGGTGCCACTTGCTCAAGGCCTTGGCCCAGGGTGGTGTGTCTCCCGTCCTTGGGCTGCTCCAGCCTGGCTGTGTTGGGCAACAGGGGACCTAGATGCCTTAGGAAGGGAGGGCAGCAGTCACAGCCCCCTATCCAGCTGTGGGTTGACATCACGGTCCCTCCCAAAGCCCTGCAGGGCCAATAAGGCGGTGTCAGTTGCTGGGGAGAAGCGACAGTGCAGGGAGAGTGGCCAGCCCCACTCACCCCCTCGGGGTCCAGCACCACACAGGGGCTTCACCACCCCCCACAGCAGTGACAGATTTCCCAGTCCAGGGACGATGAGATGCTGCCTCAGCCTCAGAAGGGCTGGGAACACACGTGGTGGCCCGGTTGGCCCCATGGCAGCTGGCTCCAGGCTGGTGTTCATTAACCAGCACGTTTTGCTGCCCTCAGCACCTCTGCCCTGGCACTGGGGCTCTGGGTGCTGAACCACACGCACACAAAGATAAATGAGGGGTTCCCAGGATACCCCCCTCCACCTTCCCAAGCCCAAGGGACCTCACTGACCTGCTTAATCCCTGCTTGAGGTGGAGGAGCAGCGGCCACTCGTAGAGCCAGGGCATCGCAGCCTCAAACCAGTCCCGGCCACGGAAGATGGGGGAGAGGCAGGCGGCGGCAGCCAGG